CTGTAGTGATAGAACACTTTCTACATACATTACACAGCGCTTCATCACTCCTAGTTATCACTGTAGTGACTTACTTAGTGTATAAAGTACTTACAGACATCATTACTTAGTTTTACAACTCATAACTTAGCTATTTCTTTAGTGTTACTGTAGTTAGTTAGTTTTCATAGGTGCGCACAATTGTGGACACCTATTATCACGCCTCATGCGTTTCTAGTACATACAAGACCAAACAAACCTGTATTCCTACTATAGTTGAAAGATACAAATCAATCCTCACTCTATATTGACTTCTGTCATATCTACAGTGTTTATTGGAGTACTGAGCAACTATAAGGCTTGTAGTCCAACCTACTAGTCTTGTATTAAGGCATTGACATTCTCTGCACTGAGCTGGGTGGCATACTGCTTGGGTTAGCTGAAGGGCGCTCCAGTGTGTTTCAACTTCAACAAGTGCAGTCTCCTTCAACAGCAGGTACTACTCGTATAGCTCCTAGTAGTTTAGTCTGGCGCTCCGCACCGCTGCGCCGTTCCGTAGATATAAATACTGCCTGTACGCTACGATTCGTTATTTAGAATTTTTTGTTTCTAGTTGCGGATTAATTTGCTAGGTTACTGCACTCCATGGACGCTCTCCTGCTGGACATCAACGCCTGGCATCTGACATGCTTCACAATGCAATAATTGGACCTGTTGGTGTTGATAACATTTTTTTTCAAGCCTTTCTTGAGGGTTTCGAGATGCCTTGTATTGATTCTTCACTCAAACTTAACGATGTAAGATATCCCGCTTTGAATTTTACCAAATTTCTACTGATAGTCCGTCCATAGATAGTCTGAAGCTTTTATGGTGGTGCTGAGGAATTTGTTCAAAGCACTGAAACATTGATTATCAGGAGATTTGAAGATTTGAACTTTATAATTCACATTAACCTCAGAGCAGCAACATTACGGGACTTCGCAGATACATGCTCGGAGGCCGGTACATCTTTTGAGGGAAAGATTTTTGATGATATTTTCCGCAACTTTCTTGAAGAGACCGGAGCACCTTGTCCTCAGCTTCTGGAGTCCATTAAGGATAGGCTCAGCCCCCAGATAAATCTTGATGAGATTACCTCTTCTACTTTTCGAATGAAGATTCTGTGCTGGTCGGTTTCAGGAGCACCTTACGTTATGCATGAAGGTCAACCTTTGAGGGTATGTTTCACATTTATAACAATAAATATTATCTTCAACTTGCTGTACCAATAGGTCCTACTGGTAGAAGATGATGACTCCCTATACCTACCTCTTCACATCAGTGAAGAACAGCGACGCCGTTATCTCTCCAATGGAACATGTTCTTTCAAGACTTGTACTTGTTCTGTACGGATACCAGCATCTTATCTCATCCAACTGGTTCGGGCCCAGTACAATCCTCATTCTGAATGCAGGGATGCAAGAACAGCTATCCACCATTGGTTATTAATTCATATGCTTGATGCTATTGGATCTTATACCACTGCATAAGGCCAATGATGCTCATACTTACACTTGCATATTGCTTGTCATTTTGATAATATATAGGGCTGAAACCCATAATCAAATATTCTGTTTATATATTAGAATAGCTTTGACTTGCATTTTTAGATATTGATTGCATTGCTACAGTTGTGGAATCCAAAGTTAAGCATACCACTTTAAATATGAACCCAATTTCTTGCATCAAGGCCAGACAATATAGATGGATGTGACAAAACCTATACTATATGGGTAGCATAAGCTTCATAACATATGTAAAGCCAAACAAGTAAAGATATTGAGCTGCGTAGAAATAGAATCAATGAAAGGATGATAGCCAGCCATCGCGGCTAGCCTTACAAAGAGAATGTTCTAACATAAAAGGATCGAATATTACCCATTCCTTAATACTTGAAAATTTTTTATCCTTGTTCAAAAAGTCAAAAAGGTCAACAAATCCCTTTGCCAGGTGCTTGAAAGTACCGTCCAAGGATATTTCAATTTTTATGAGGCCCCGCGAACCACCTTTGTCCAACTTGGAAATCATTTCCGAAACCTCCTTCAAAGGAGGGAAGGGGATGCGACCTGCATAGACTAGATCAACCATAAATAAGTATGCCGTCAGGATTCCAAAAGTTGGAAAAAGTGTTTTTGAATCGGGACCCTTCGCAGTAGTGATGAAATTGACAATGTTGGTGAAGGTAATATTGGGTTCCTGCAAAAGTTTATTATGAAGAATTTGACTACCAATCCAGAAGCGTCATGCATTTCTAGGTAAGTGACCATTTGTTCTTCCATAGACATGTGGGTTACACATATAGCTTTCACCTTTCTCCTGGTGGATAGCTACAAAGCTCTCCCAAGCTCCTCAGGACTCAAAGAATTCAGAATGCTCATGCTCTTGGAGAGCACGGGTGTTGAATAAGATGCCTCGAAAAACAAGACCACTGAAGATTCCCTTGCGTGAATTGATATTCTGAGGTGCAAATGTGCCATTGCAGCTAGTAACCTGCTGTCAAGTCCATGCCGCGGGCCTCCATTCCGCCGCTCGGTATTCCGAAGATCTGCTTTTATTGTAATCTCTTCCTATTGTTCTTTCTTGCTACACATATCCTTTCGTCCTAGTCTCTCATTATTGTCTTTTACTCTTTCGTTCTAGTCTCTCCTTATTGTCTTTTACTCTACCCTGCAGGTACTACTCGTATAGCTCCTAGTAGTTAGTCTGGCGCTCCGCACCAATGCGCCGCTCCGTAGATATAAATACTGCCTGTACGCTACTGTAGTTCCTTAGTTTAATTATCAACTTAGATCTCCCTTCTCAACTTAACTCTCCTCTAAGTCTTCAGGCTCAACGCCTCGAAGTACGTTCTCCTCGACCTTAGGACTTTAACGTTCTCTGGTCCGCTCCTCGTCATCGGCGATACCGCCGCTCCGACCTGGCTGCTACTTAGCTCCTCTCTCCCTACTCTCGCTCTCCGGGGACTAACGGCGTAACGGCGGTGTTGTTAATAACTTCACTACTGTCCCATTCGTCTTCCGCACTTAGACACCTTGTGACTTTGGCACGGTTACACGGTGTACATGATCTTAACACCTGCGAAGGACCCAGTTCGCGGAATGGACAATGTTGGTCTACATTTGTCAAAATTTCTGCTGCAACTTGGTTGGCAATGGGGAATGCTGCTCATGCATAACTAGTGCAATCTCCAGTAGGCAGTCACGGAAGAATTCCATGCGGGACTGAACACCAGACAATGATGCTGGAACATGGGACGACCGGGAAGCCGTAGCTTCCAGAGAGATGCGGTGAATAGAACTTGTTGCAGGAAAAGCAAATGAATTCAACATATCTCCATTAGAGGAAGCACTGGAGGGGCTCAGGTTGAGAAACTGGCAGTGCACAATGTCAAGTTGTTTGAACAATTGCTGGGCTGATGCGATATGGTCTTTTCCAAGAATAGGATGCATGAAATATGTTATCTCTGGACCATTTGGAAGATTTTGTTGATCTGCCGGTGAGGAGGAGTGTGTTAAGATCATGTACACCGTGTAACTGTGCCAGAGGACCCAGGTGTCTAAGAGCGGAAGGTCGAGTGGGACAGTAGTGAAGTTATTAACAACACCGCCGTTACGCCGTTAGTCCCCGGAGATCGAGAGTATAGAAGAGAGGAGCTAGTAGCAGCCAGGTCGGAGCGGCAGTAATGCCGGTGACGAGGAGCGAACCAAAGAACGTCTAAGTCCTAAGGTTGGAGTAGAACGTACTTCAAGGCAATGAGCCTGAAGACTTAGAGGAGAACTAAGTTGAGGAGGGAATCTAAGTCAATAATTAAACTGAGGAACTACAGTAGCGTACAGGCAGTATTTATATCTATGGATTGGTGCATCGGTGCGGAGTGCTAGACTAACTACTAGGAGCTATATGTGTAGTACCTGCAGGGTAGAGTAAAAGACAATAAGAAGAGACTAGGATGAAAGGATATGTGTAGCAAGAAAGAACAATAAGAAGGAGGTTACAATAAAGGGTAGATCTTCGGAATACCGAGTGGCGGAATGGGGCACCGAGGCATGGACTTGACTTTACGTGCTGGCGTTCAGCTTATGATTATAGATGCACGGGCTCTCTATGATCATCAAGTTGAAGCTTCTCACACTGGAAGGCCAGAGGTAGTATTGCAGGAGCATACAGGCCATCGTGGTTGTCCTCGTACCATAATCAATGCAGACTTCCTTTCATGGGCCTATGGACATCGCACTACTTCTGGGATTAGTGACTTCCTTGGAGTTTCTAGGGCTACTGTCAGGCGTCGTCTACTTGAAAATGAAATTGCACTTCCCGGACCCAATTCATTTCCGGACTCCTGGATAGATAACTTGGTACAGTCTGAAGTTCCTGAGGACAATGCAATAAATGGAGTGCTAGGCAGTGAAATGGAAGTTCCTGTATCTCTACCAGATGCAATATACACCGAAGCTGCATCTATTGCCTCAACTTCTTCTTCAGCCACTTATTTGTCAAGCATATCGGATGACCAGCTAGATTCTCTGCTGGGACATTTGAGGGTTTATTACTGCCATGCAGGAATCCGCATGCTTGATGGTATGCTTCATTGACTGGGCCATATTGTACCTTATGAGTGTATCTGATATTCACTCCTTTGGATTGATCCCATTCAGCCGGTGTTTGACTGCATTCACATCCGTCGTCGAGGTTATTCTGTTCTAGGTCCTAATTCACTATGGCATCACAATGGTCATTGCCGTAAGTTAATTGATCAACAATAACACCAACATCTAACATGGTCTTCAGGGCTCATACAATGGGGTGTGGTAATTCATGGCTTTATAGATGGGTACTCCAGAATGATAACGGGGATGCGAGCTAGTAATAATAATTGAGGTGAAACTGTACTTTCCCTATTCTTAGCTGCTGCAGAGCATTATGGAATTCCATCTTGTCTCCGTGGTGATCATGGAATTGAAAATATCTGGGTTGCTGCATTTATGGAACATGCTTGTGGAGAAGGTCGTGGATCCTATATATGGGGAAGGTATATGTATAAATTTTATCTACCAACTACCGTTCTGAATACATTTTTTAGATCCATTCACAACGTCCAGATAGAGCATCTATGGGTAGATGTCAGTTACTATGTTAGCCAAACCTGGCATGACTTATTCACGCACCTGGAGCTGCACCATGGTCTCAACATCTCAAATACAAATCACATATGGCTTCTTCAACATCTCTTCCTCTCAACAATCAATGAACAGTTAACTTTTTGGGCTGAAGGATGGAATAATCATCAGATCTCACAGCGCAATGGTCCATCTCGATCACCAGAGGATATGTTTGGGTTTGATATGATTGTTAATGGCTTACGAGGAGGTTCATTGGATGAGGTTTCCATGACCAACGAGGAACTTGAGGTCTTTGGTTTGGACTGGGATGGGTTGAGAGACAAAGTACTATTGCGGTCTCTCAGGCAGAACTACAATAACGAGGGCTCTAGTTCATGGCTTGGGCAGTGGGGACCACCTCCGGAGTTGAACCAAGTAGTAGTTGATCCGCCTCCTGGTCTATTCACTTTGGAGCAGATTGCTTGGATGGATGAGCAGCTTTCAAGACTTGCGCGTGGCCCTCAGGAAGAAGATGTAGTACAGCTGTGGATTACTGCCCTTGCAATTGCAAGATCCATGACTGGTAATAATTCAACCTACTTTTAACTTTATAATCAATTCCAATCTTGACAATGGAGAGTTGTTGATAAACATATTTGCCATGAAAAAGGGAATGAGCCGCAGAGTATAGAATATAAGTTCTAGATGTCAATTATTGTATAGTTGGCAATACATCTGCCATTGGTTGGACTAGAATTTGAGTATTCTAGCTGCTTGACACTCTCCAGATGTTTTACTTTAGCACCAGATGTTACATTAGACTCCTGCTGATGCCACACTGAACTCCCACTGATGCCACACTGGACTCCCGCTGATGCCACACTGGACTCCCACTGTTGCCATGCTGGACTCCCGCTGACACCCTGCTGGACTCCCATTAACATTACATTTGCTACCTGCTCAGCATTGTTAGAAACCACACAAGATCTACATCAAATGTCCATTGGGGTGATGTAAGTGATTGCAGAATCTTGCTATGTTTCCTGGGCATTAGTATATGTACATTAGATAGTAGTGCTGATTTCCTACCCACTAGGGTTCTAAACATGTAGAATATCATAGTTTCTATAACTAGAATTGACAATTTCTGCCTGAAGAGTTGAAATATCGAGTAAGACATACAATTTCAAGTAGAAGGCTAATAGTTGGAGTAGGATATTGAGTAATCAGCTGATTATTGAACGAAAACTGCCATTATACAGAACACACCGGCGGAACGCAAAATTATACCATCCGTTCAGCTTCTAACAAACGCTGAATCCTCGACTTAGGGAGGTCAATGGTGTTTATTCAATGCAAGTTTAGCATAATTTCTGTAACTTACTTCCTGTGTTGGGAATGCATATACATAGCCATAAATGATTGTGGGTGTAGCAATGTAGATAGCCATGTTCTACATATAGTGATGTACGATAGAGATTGAGTAAAGCTAGTGATGCGTAGACGGAGGCTAAAAAGTACCAAGTCGAAACATACAACGCAAAGCGATCCAGTCCATTGATACCAAAAAAGAGTGGCTCTACTTCCCGAGGCCGAAAAAAAAAGTCCGCGAATGAACGAGAGTGAATGAATGATGGATAGTGTCCCTGCACGAGATTCAACTCTTTGAGAAAACATCCAGTAGATTGTTGTCAGTAAATCACATTCATCAAATACGTGCAATCAAGAGCGCCAAAATACGGCAAGGTGATGGGAAGAGCTTCCGTCCTTAAACGTCAACACCGGAACTAGAAGCTCCACGAGAAAGACCCGATCTTGAATGCACGAGTACCAACCTTCGGAGTGTACTTGATCCTTGGCTTTCTGCATGGTCGCCATCGTCTAATGTCTTATCTTGCCAGGCTTGACCTTTTGCTGCACCCCACATTCTAGCCAGAAAGTTTCCAGAGGTCCCTCGGGAGATAATGGGCATCGTGGCGCTGCTTGATATACCGGAGTCTTTGACATGATCAGTACCCGCGACGGAGATAGAAACTGCGCGTTTATTCGAGCATCGTCTTGAGTGTGCGGCAGAGATCAGAGGAGATTGAGTGACGGTACATATCGAGGACGCATCGGATGGCTTGCGCGATCGAAGTTGCTGGCTTTTCTGAGCATAGGAGGGCATGGAGCGGACGATTGAAGAAGATTTGATGAGACGTTCAGGTACCTGTTCGTCGCGAGGATACAAAGACATCGAAGAGTTAGAGTAGACCTCAGGCTCGGCATATTCCTCTAGATCTGATTCGGAGTCGGATGTGTTCCACCCTGACGAAGAGCCAGAAGAAGAGCCAGAGTCCTCTATCAACGATCCAACATCTGATGACGACGAAGAAAGCGTAGAAGTCGTACTGAGTGAAGTATACATTGGCGAAGAAGCAGTGGAAGTAGTTGATTGTGACCGTGAAGATGAGATATGTGTGTTTGAGATACGTTTAGCAAGTGTGCGGACTGTTGATGCGAGCCCCGAAGAAGTTGATGAGCTTTGAGAAGGAAGATGAGGTGGGATTGATTCAACCGAAGAATCTGGTATCTGCTGCGCCTGTACTCTTGCTCGCCCAGCCTTAACAACCCTGTCAACGGCCAGGGCCCGAGTCGATGCTCTCTGAGCTGGTGTTGCCATGAAAGGTGCAAACATATGACATGCTTCTTCTTCATCGAAACGAAGGTCGTAGTCGAGGAAACCGAGCAGCTGAGTTTCCATGAGCGTGATTTCCTCAATGGTAAAAAAGAGAGCATATTGAGCCCAGTGCTTGTTCTTGAGCGTAGAATCGTTGAGATATTTGGCTGCGACTACAAGAGTAGCGAGGAAGACTCGATGTCTCGTACAAGGTGTGGTTCCTAGAACGCATATAAGGAGATTCCCAGATATAAGGCCGTCAATGAAATAGACCTGAACGCGACTAACCTTTTGTCAGGGTCGGAAGCTTAGATCTTAGACGCTCAAGATAAATCAGAGTGGCCAGGAGAGTTGGCACCTGAACATGAGCGTGTCGGACAAGATGACCGATAAATTCTCTGAGCGGGAGTGAAGCAACGGAGTCATACGCGCAGTTCGGGGAAGGCATGCTGGCCACACTTGAAGCAATTATAGGCGACTCGCCCTCAATACAGATTACATTTGCTGCTTGGCGAGCAATGTAGTCGATCATGTCCATGTTTACGCGTGAGCCCATCAGTCGAACAAGTTGAGGATTGTGTGCAGAAATATCGATAAGCGAGGCAGGATGACGAGTGCGAGTATGCTCGTTGACCATAATTAGGAAGAGAACGTATTAGACTGTACAGATATTGGTTTGACTGGATCCCTTCTAGGGAGAGAGAATATGGAACAGAAGCAAAACGTGAAGCGCCCATGGCCGAGTGAACAAATTTAAAGTCTTGTTAGGGTTAGGGCGACTTAACACGCCACGTGCTTCGCTACGATCTCATTCACTGTTCACCACCATAGACATAGATGCTTACCGAGTGGTTGACCACTATATCCTTTGTCTTTGGGGGCTGCTGCAGGTATTTCCTACCAAGTAAAACTATCGTCCAATCCTAATAGTCCTCGTTCCACCATAGCAATGCCGTCACCCTGGAGCAATTGACTTCACAGTTTCCGCGCGCTGGTTCTCTGATCACATTTTGTCAATTTGCGATCATCTCTCTCCAAGGGATTCGCAGGCATGTTACATGGTCTTCCTATGGTCCCAGATTAAAGCCCCGCAGGATCCCACTTATGCCTTATCTCGTCCAAGTTGTGCTTTTCTACCTCGTTTCTCTCCTGAACAATGCGGCGTTCGCGTATCGCATCCCTATGGCAGTACATATCATCTTCAGAAGTGGAGGGCTTGTAATAAGTATGATCCTTGGATGGATCTTCGCTGAGAAGACGTACGTCCAACTTTACCAACAAATTGTTAGTAGTTACTCACCTATTTTTCCGCAGTTACACCACTGCCCAAGTTTTATCTGTTTTCATTGTCACACTCGGAGTCATATTCACAACTCTTTCCGCCTCCGAGCCCTCATCGAACGTCATGATCGAAAGCTCTGCCCGGGTGTATCTGACCGGCATAGGCATCCTGACCCTTGCACTCGTTTTTTCAGGCTTTCTCGGTCTGGTACAAGATTATACATACACAACGTATGGGCGTCCATCAAACTCTTCAGACAAATCATTTGCCGCCCCCACCTGGCAAGAATCAATGTTCTATCTCCATTTTCTGGCTTTGCCCATGTTTGTGACGGTCCGGAAGGACTTGATGTCACAATTTTATGCGTTGAGTCGAGGTCCACTTGCCTCTTACACGATTGCAGTACCTCCTTCAATCTCTGCTACCATCCTACCTTCACTACCATTGCCTCCCCCGTCAGCTACCCCGTTATATCCCAAGTCTTCATCGTTCCTATCCTTTACGAACGTTGGAACTTCCTCGACTTCATCCCTCGTCGATCCTAATGCTCTGCTTCTACGACTCCAGCTCCCTGCCGCATGCTTTCCTCTCCTTCTTAATACCGTCACACAGCTGCTATGTGCGGTTGGCGTACACCGACTCACTACTCAAGTCAGTTCACTGACTGTGACTCTGATACTGGTTGTCAGAAAGGCTGTCAGTTTGATCTTGAGCATCATAGTAGGATGGGGTCGAAAGGCCAACAACCCTGAGAACGTCAACATGAACATGATGTGGTCAGGGGCTGCGTTGGTGTTGTTGGGCACCATTGGATATTCTCTAGCAACGAATGCTACAACCTCGACAAAAAAGAAATCGGAGTGATTTATGCATAGAATTAGAGCGGAAATTGGACTGTGTATATATACTCTGGATTGTAATCTATGATATAGCTTTATACTTAGCAAAATAATATGTATTTACTGCCCTACATATGCATGATTCCGTGAAAAGTAATGTTTTTTTTCTACGGTCTGATTATTGAACGCGTTCCTAACTTTGCAGCTGATGTACCAACAACGATCACCCGCCCGAAAGCCCGACATGTCGTCGCCACCTCGGCCAGGCTTTCAAACAACATTCACTAAATTTTCTTGCTTCTTGTAGATTGTTCAAGAACTTGAGGGTGCATGCTCATTGTGATGAGACAGTGAGTAGAGGTATGGCACTGTCGCAGGTACAGTGCTAAGCAGTCAGAGATCTCGGTCGAAATTGCTTATGGGCAGTTCGTAGAGAATAATCCACGGAATAGTGCAAAGAGCAGTACTACCCTAATACTACTCGTCGAGGTAGTCCTAAGTCGAAGCCGTTGAGGCTTGAGTTGACCTCTTGTGAAACACATCCTGAAATTTTAGATTCATACATACATTCAATTTTAATCATTAGGATCATTACTTGGAAGAACAGGTTGTTCAGGCAATCCAACCTGCTTCACTAGCTGCCTGTATACCCACATACAATGCATCAGCAAGCACTTGGTAACCTTCATCGTCTACATATGTTCTCAATACGAAAGTCAGAACAAAGGAAGCGAAGAGACGCACTCGGATGTAAATCATCAGCCATCTCAGAAGATGTCAAATTTGAAAGAGATACATGGGCAATATGCTGTCCTTCTGCAATTCTCTGTTGCAACAGCACTTGGACGCCGCTGTTGTATGTCTCTACCAAAGGCTCAAGTGTATCATCAACAATCAATGGAATGTCGGACACGATAACGGCGGCATCTGGGCTGTAGGAAAAGATCTCGTCGACGAGGTTCATTAAGCGTGTAGGAGCGTTGGCTAAATCTTCCTGGTAGTTGATGTCATTGGTGCCGGCAATGAGAAGAACGACCTGATTGACGAATGTCAACGAAACGTATACGCATGGAATCGATAGAAAACAAATTACCTCTGGAACCATTTCGAGCGCTGGAACTCCGCTAGACGCTATTTGGTCAATGGTGCAGCCAATGTACCCATCGTTCCAGTTATCGGCCATGGTCCCTGCTTGAATGGATCCAATGTAGTCTACCGAATTACCCCCAGCAGTAATTAGCTCCAAGAGATCTTCTCGATAGCCGTTTCCATCTGTCGATAGCCACCCATATCTATAATCAAGAGATTCACTTGCATTGAACAGGCGACCAAGTTTCAGAATGAACACACGTTATACTGTCTCCTAAAGGTAGGAAGGTCGCGTTCCAAGCAGCTATTTGAATGAGGAATCACTCGACTTTTGAGCAGATTTAAAAAGGAAGTACGTACAACCCAACCCAATCAGACCAGCTATGACGAGAACAGAACGAACGATACGCATTCAGAATAAGTGTCAAAAAGCTCTGTAGTAATCAGACCGTTATAAGTTTGGGAAGGGAAAAAGGTCGGCGCTGTTGAAACCGAAGTTTATCCCAGGTTTATCCTCTGCAGCTTGTTAATTCAACTTGAGACCAGAAGCTGACCAGAATGTTGCAAGGAATACGAAAGAAGGTCGCGCAACGACAACATGTGAACAGATGAGTTTGGCTTGCGACTGTTACAACGGACCGCAGGGTTTCAACCGCACCTGCGGACCAGGTCAGATACTCGAAGGGAAGGAAGGACAGGGAAGGACTCCTCGGAGGAGTCCTTCGGAATCCGAACGAGTTGAAGGTACGAGTTATGTGTATTGAGACCAAATATCGACGACCACTTGATACCAGGTTGATACGTTGCTCAACGGTGCTTAGCCTACATGAGGAAGTCATCCAATTCCCTTACGATATAAGATCTAATGAGATCTTATGTTACAGGCACTGTATATACACAGATGAGGGAAGATGAGGCCGTCTGGGAAGGTCTGTGACTTTGTTCCTGGCCATGCCGCGGTATCATCGTTCTGAAATCAAGTTATTGCCTTTTGATAAGTAGATTCGGCCTAGTTGCGCAGAGCATAGAGAGCTCTGGAGAGCTGGGTAGAGTCTGCCGCAAGATGAGTGAGAAGCACGAATCTGACGTGGGTGCTAGTTACATAAGAAATACATGGTGCAGTGAAAGGAAGAATACACAGTCAAACCTTCATACTAGGCTCCACTGCCGTGGACCACACCTTGCTTGGGTCACGTCCTCAACACCACTTCATTTTACTAGCTGACATTTATACCTATTATGTTTCAAGTATGTTTCGGTCCAACTTCCACTGCCAAATACCCATTTCTGATCATGGAACTGAATTTCACGCAAAGACGGGCAAATGTCATGTAAGCCATTGAATGCCTGTTCAATATCTAAATCATAAGCATCAATGCGCAGTATGTAGATCAACCTGAGATTTTGCAGATGATGCAAACTCTGTCGCACCAAGTCCAATATCCTAGCCTATAATGCCATGAATAAGAGTAAGTCTCCTTTGACACAAACACAAACATGGAACATAATGCTCCGTGTAAAGGTACATGGGCAGCTAAATGCTTTCATTGAAAGTACAACAATGGATGTGGCAGTAGAGCCAACGGATGGCATATAGGGATATTTTCATAACTTTTGTGTCGAATTGGACAGCAAAAAAACACCACAGGAACATTGCGGTGAAGGTACAGTTGCCCCTCATATGCTCCATGTCGGCGTGGGAAATGGTGGTGGTGAAATGGCTGCAGCGTCAAATGCAGAGACAGAATATATTGTACCACGATTGGACAGGCCACATTCCGTGGAACTGGACAGCAATACACAACAGGAGCAGTGCAATGAAGGTACAGTTGCTTTTCATATGGTCCATGTTGGGATGGGCGATGGTGGTGGTGAAATACATTACACAAACAAGAATGCGAGAATGACACAAGGTGAAGATATGAGGACATTGGCTCCTGCATCAATTTCAGAAACAGAATATATTAGACTGGGAGACCTGGACAGCCCACATGCAAAAGATGGCAAGAGTGCAGTACTTTTTTTGGTGGCTCTTCAGTGGAAGTACTGTAAGACCTGGGTCAAAATAGGTCTTAGGGTAGGTTTTGGTATGTGGAGGTTTATGTTGTAGCGTGCTAGGAGCAGGCTGGAGCTCAAAGGGAGCTACGAGAACCGCGACCGAGGACGGGAATGACCTAGTAGTGGCTGGAACGACGGGATGGTGACCCTTGAGGGGTTCCTAGGAGGTCCAGGGAGGTCCCTAAGGCGTAGGGAGGTTAAGGAAGAGTGCGGGACTGTACGATATTGCGTAGTAGGAGTTGTACTCGCTAGAACGTCAATATAGGATCGAGTAGGTCATATGTGTAGATGGGTCTCGAGGGTGTAAGCTCCCGAGAAGGGATGTGCCAGGGAGGGTAGGTCCCTGGGGGCTAGGCTTGAGGATGGACGTCCTCGAGTGTGGGAGGTGGTAACGGAGAAGCAGTACGTAGTTCGACGTGAGGGGTAGTTTCGACGTTACCTAGATCGAGGTCCTGAAGCCTATAGAATAGCTAGGGAGCTCGAGGAGGTTTGGGGAGCTTTAGTATTGTTCGAGGGAGCTCGGGAACTCACTTGGATTGCTTAGACGTGAAGTAAAAGCGTGTATTGGATTGTATAGACAATCACAGAGACGATAGACAAGAGTTGAGAGAAACAGAGGTAGTGAAACAGAGAGTAAAGAGAAATCTGTATGGTTAGCAGGTACAAAGGGACAGGGACTGGACCTATGCAAAAGGATGTGTGTTCAAAATATACCAAGCTGGGCTTCTGGACGCTCCTGGACTGATTAAATATGTATGGGGAAGTTAACAAGGAGACATGGTATGAAGCGAGCACTTAATGGGGATTCTAAGTACATGAGGATGGAATGATGGACGCATGTACGGGGTTCCAGGACCCTGTCGTGGAATGATTCGGTTGAATGGAGGGGAGCTAAGGGTTGCGGAGGTGGTTCTAGCGGTAAGGAGGTCTGTGGGACGTTTGAAGTGTTCTCAGGGATTCATGGAAGGGTTCTGAGGAGGTCGGGAGCTATGTTAGAGAGCTTATGGGCTAAGGAATTCGGGGTGAGGCATGACAAGTACACAAAAGTTGAGACAGTAAGTGTGTGGTTGAATTTGGAGGAAGTTGCTGACAAAATGGAGAAGGTAGTGTGGAACTACTTTACAACAAGGAGTGGGGTATTGTGGATTCAATGGAATTTGCGAGTGGAAGTGGGTGAAAAGCATCAATTGCAAGCAGAGATTGAGAAGATGAAGGACTGTGTGGGGCAAATGTATGAAAGACGAGTGGTGTTATTCATAATGTTCATTGATGCACCATGTGGGGTGGGTGGACATCAAGAGACTAGGAGCATTTGTAAGTTATGGTTGAGAGAATCAAGGACAAAAGCTGACATATGGAAACAGACCATTCAGGAGGGGGTCCAGAAACACTTATAGGATGAGAATACAACAATAATGAGAGGCATAACACTATCTTTGGAACAAGAGTAGGCACAGGAGTTGGGAAAGATATGGAACCTGACATTACTTGGAGAAGAGATTTGTTCTTAGTGGCATTGAGAGGAAGGTTTGAACAGGTGCAAACAGTGAGTTAGTCAAGACATAAACATCTGCAAAACCTGGATATTCGGCTGAGCACTGAGAGCAGATCCCAGCAGATCCCAGTGCTGAAAGCATCGAAAGCAGTCTCCTTTGAGTGCTTTCACTGCTGGGAAGTGCTCTCAACTGCTTTTGGACCCTTAGCTGAAAATACAGGTTTTGCAGATGAAGGTATGAGGTACTAAGAAGAACATACAACAGGCATCATACAAAGGACAGCTCTGTCTGCAGTGGCAGATTGTTGTTGAACTGAAGGTCAAAACATGTTAGAAGAGGTGAAGAGCATGGAGGTGTGTGTAGGAGTGTTGTGGTATAGATGTGTTGAATTAATGATGGTGTGCATTGATGCCCCCAGAGGACTGACAAAGTATCAAGAAACAAGGACACTGTGTGAGTAACATTTGAAAATGATTCATTCCAAACTGACAAGAGAATAGATCACCTGGTGGGAAGAGTTAATGGAGATTGGATGTAGGCAAAAGGCAGAGTTTGTAGGGGACAGTTGTGTATATATTATCAAAGAGTATTATCGAAGAGATAGAATATTCGGTATCTAAGTACATAAGTCACATTGCTTGCAAGGTCTATTCCACTCGGTATTTGACCTCTTGATGTGCAGGCACATTTTTGCTATGTTTGGTTTCAGCCAAACCACTTCAAACACTATCCTATCCAGATCCTATCCTATCCTTACCTCGCGGCGCGCCCGATGCGCGCCGCATTTTTGATCTCAAGCAAGGTGTGCAGTCCACAACAGTGGGGCCTAGTCATCAAAGGGAATGACATATTTGGTGTATGTACAGACGTGGGCAGTGGGTGAAAAGCGGGCCGAAACAAGCAAGTACAAAGCGGGGCAGACAGACACAAAATGTGCCTGCACATCAAAACTGTACAATTCCGGGGTGGAATAGACCTTGCAAGCAAGGTGATAACCCATGTTCAAACGATCGAGTATGAGCAAGGGACAAAATTATCAAATGAACTGAGTTTCAAAATCTTGATGCCAGGGCTCAACGCCCGAAAATAAGCAACGGCGCATTCTTGTGGTCATCTCTCGCCTCAATTATTTCTGTTCATCCCTAGTCTATACCTCTAGTCATGTGAGAGTCCGAAACGGGAAATCTGATTTGCTCATGTGATCTTTGTTGAAGAAAATTTTCCGCGTCGTCTCTCTCTCTCGCACCACCGCCTCCGATGCTCTTATGAACTTTCAATCTCTGCAGGAAAAGATTGCCCATCATCCAAGATTTCATCAATACTACTTCAATGTCGAACATAAAGCTACATGCAACTTCATGCTCCCATTCTGTAAAATTCCGACTTATAATGAATAACTCCAATTCAGCACATTTGCAATGCACCTCAAGACTATCTTCCAATAATACTGTGTGTACAAGATGATCTCAACCTCAATGTTCAATATTCAGAACTCAAATTCCAATGAACCTCATCAAACTTCAAACTTCGAGCGAAAAGACCCCATCAAGCTTCCAACTTCGAGCGAAAAGACCCCATCAATGATCAAGTCAAAATTTCAAGTCATTTGGGAATGGATTATGTAATTTAGTGATGGGTATGTCCACATTCATACTATGACTCCTTCTTTCAGTGTAAGTGCGTACTGGTAGTGTATTAACATGTGTTAGTAGTTTGTTGTGTGTACTTAGATATCAATGAAATGCATCTCAATTTATGTCGCGCGGGAGGAGGGGAAAGAAAAGGCCTGTCAGATTCGGTCGGAACGTCCGGCGCGGCATTGAAGCCCGGCTTTGAAAATTTGAGCCTACGGCTCATTTGAGCTCTGGGCTATGTTACGGATTATGCGTTACATTCCAAAAATTTTACCCGCCGCATCAATTGCCCATAGTCAACCGTTGTTTGATAGAACTGCATGCCTGTGTAGGAAGAATTGTGCTGCCAAGTGGAACGTTCGCTTCCGCCGTATCGGCTATAAGATGGAATGCATATAATTTATTATCATATACTTATTACAGTCTTATACCGACAAATCGTCTTCAACATTCTGCCCTTCATCCCTGCTTCATCCTACACCTTCTCTTTCCCTGCCTTTGGTCATCACAAACTTTTTGGCTTCGGATTGGGCGGTAGAACGTCGAAGTAGCATCTCGGTTAACTTGTAAGGCTACCTCATAAACAGGCCATTAGGTTTACGGCCGAGAAGTCGACAGATCATATACTAAATCTTGGTTATATTTCTAGGTAAAGCTTTTTAGTAATGGTCAGGCTTCCGGCCAGACTCCATTTGGGGCATGGGGCGCTTTGTACACTTGGTCTTCTGCTCCAAGATTTTGCATTAGCCCAGAATCTGACAGATTCTCAAATTTCGGATGTCGAAACGCGCCTAGCAGAAGGAGCTACTCATCCGTGCGTCAAGTCGCCTTCTACCAGCTCTAAGATTCAAGCTAAACATGTCATAAATTAGCTGGGAACTTGGCACTCGAGCTCAAGCCCTGCTCGAGCACAATGTTCGAGATTTTTCTGTTTTCTCTTTAACTCTTCCATCTACGTCTGTTCCATCCGACACTTCTTCAGCAATAGCTCCTGTTTTCTCCATCGCAAAGGGCGTCGTTAACAACCGTACTGCGGTCAACGGCAACATCACAGGTCCTCAACCGCTTGTGACAGACGATAGTGCTGCAGACCCTGCTTCCATCGGTCCTGCTGTCTTGTTAGCAAACTGGACCAATTTAGGAGATGGTGTCGACTATGCAGGTGCTGCGTTGGACCAGCTCAACTTCCTTTATGAAAAGGTACCGAAGACAAGTGATGGTGCGATTTCTCATAGAACCGGTGAGGTGCAACTTTGGTGAGTGCTAGTCATCCAGAGATACTTGGACACATATCATCAAAAATCTATCTCTCCAGGAGCGATTTTGTTTATATGGTCCCCCCATTTCTCGCATACTATGGCCTTCTTACAAACAACCAATCCTTAATCACCGACGCTTACACACAAATCAAACTTTACCGCAACTATCTCAGAGATACATCTGCAGGGAACTTATGGGCTCACATCGTGCTTGGAAATAATTCTAACGGAGTTGCGAACGATCCTGGGCACTGGTCTACCGGTACGTCTCCCCTTTCTACATAATTCTGGATTACACTATCAACTTTTTTCACGTAGGTAATGCATGGGCCGCAGCTGGCATGCTTCGTGTACTCGCTACAATTCAATCTTCTCCCTTCGCTTCCGATATGTCGAGTGAACAAGATGATCTCGCAGATTGGGTGTCCGAAATTCACGCGGCAATGTATCCTCACCTAGTACGCCCTCAACATATGTGATCACTCCAACGGTCTGCTTACATTATCCCACAGAATACCAGCTCTAACCTGTTCTATAATTATGCCGACGAAATGAACACTTTCCCTGATGCCGCATCCACTGCTTTGCTTGCATCCACCGTCTACCGACTCTCCCTCCTCCGCAGCGTTCACCATTATCTTCCGGACGCAGAAAAATGCAGACAAACGCTCTTCTCGTCAAACTCATCTGGCCTTGTTCACTTCTCCTCAGATGGATGGCTGACACCTGTGGTTAATCCAGATTCCTTTGGTGATGAAGGCAGTGATAGTCCTGAGTCACAAGCGTTTATACTTGAACTCCAAGCAGCTTGGACGGACTGGGTGAATGATGGTTCACAGGGTGCTAACGGTGCCTTGAGACTTGGCTCAGTAAATGGGGCTACGATTGTCTTTGCTGCGATATCAGTGGTATGGATTCTTCTTTTCTGATTGCTTTGTACGCCCGACTAGTTGTACACTTACTTCTTCGCATTCTCTTTGTACTTACTGTCTTTATATGTTAAACTCTTATGGGTTGGTTTTATTATCATAAGTTATACTGCACATACCTACTCACTCACTTGGATTTATACTTGATATACCTCAACTTTTTGTTGTCTTGTTTAATTAAGTACTTGGTTTATGTTTGCAGCTCATGGACCCTGCTTTCATGTTCAAATCTGGAGTGTATAAATAAGAGAAGACATTAAGAAATTGTATGTACATATGTGGAATAAGAGAACCTGAAAGGTAAGCGTACAGCCCTGACCACTTCCTCAAAATATGAGGTTCAGAGAGATACATAATTACTATACTGAATGAAGATAGAATGTTTGTCCAATTTAACCAGGATACAACAGACGTGTCGATTGCTTAAGCTGACAATCTCATAGAGGGGGACTGCCTGCGGTGATCTCGACCAGAATGAGTACAAGTGCAAATGCATTATTGAGAGAATCCAGATATGCAGTCCCCATATACATAAACAGATTAAATGAAACAGAGCACGACTCGGAAATTTCATCGAATGCGCGCAGCGCTTCTGCATACTATCTTATACGTATACTTTTGTATGGATTGTCGAAAACGCAAGATAGTACAGTAAACTACCTTAGTCTACTCCTGGCCTATCGAAATATCCCAGATTTTTTGTAGAAGGTCTGATGCCGGGTCTGACTGTCCTTCGAATCTTGCGAACGATACCGCCGTGAATGTAGCCGCGTAATTCCGCAAATACGGAGAATACTGGAACAGGTGGAATTTGGTCGATAACTCTATGATTAGGAAACAAAAACTTACCGCTCTGCAGAAATGCCGATACCAGCCCCATGTCTCCCAAGCAATCCATTCGTCTTTGCCCCAATTTGCGCGATTGTGCCAGGAGTTTTCAGTGAGGATTTCGCGGGCTTTCGGATTAGGATGTGAACTTGAGATTGAAGGCGCAAGGCATGAAACGAAACCCTCGAGTGTTCGAGAAAGAGCAGCTTTTTGTTCTCTGGTGAGGCTGGAAAAAGCCTTTACAGCGACGGCAAGAGCGGGATCTTCTGGTACGGGCTCATCTGACAAGAAGAAACATGTTTCAATTTCGGGGAAAGGGCTACAGGACTTCCTTCGCCCAAAAAAATCATCCTTACCTGATTTTGCCTCCCCGTCAACATCCATGTTTCCGCCGTTCGCTTTTGCTCTAGCCCTGTTTTCATCGTCCTCTTTCCTCAGAAGTGCAAGTCTCCTCCTCGCAATATTTACTCGTCCAATTGCTTTATCCAGCGCCCCCTTCAATAAATTCCACTCAAATGCGCTCAAATTTAACGGGGCCTTCAGATCTGCCTCGAATTCGTCTACTTCGCTGACATGCAGGAATGTCCACGAAACGACATCCGTAGGGTCGACGATCTGATATTGCATCAGCTTGTCGAAGACAATGGCCACCATCTGTGGATTGTATTTCCAGAACGACGCTGCTGCGCTTAGGATGTCGGCTTTAGCCTCGGGATTTCCAGCGCCTGCGCTGGCAGTTACCCCGCCGCTAGCGAGGGTTCGAAGCAGGGGAAGATACCTTTCAATGGCGTTCAGTAGATGGGAGAAGGAACGTGAGCCAATGTGGAGAAGTGATTGAGTGCTGATAATCCGGACAAGGGAGTTTACATTTTCGGTTTCTGATATTTCTGACTCAAGGGTATTTCGTAAGGTGTCGAGGTGAGTTATCACATCTTCCGCTTTTGCACGTCCACGGAAGAGATTGAGAATGGACTGTGCAGCATCATGATGTGGTTTCGCTGAATGTAAATTAGAGACAGTCCCTGGAATATAGAAAATGAACGTGGCATACAAGAATCATCGTATAGAAAATCAGGGCCGGGAGCTTGTTTTGGCAGTACGTGCGCCTCGGGTGCATGCATTGCCTCGGGGAGACTTTTGACGACACGATCGTAGTACGATAATCGAATTTCATATTCTGCAGCTGTGCGCATGAACGCGCGCTTGGGGTGTTGAACGGCCAACTCAAGATCTGGAATCCTTGATACGACCGATTAAGCAGTTTGATCTCATCCAAATTGACGTACGTACCACTCCTTCCATACCCATTGGAAGTTGAAATTGCTCATGTGAATTGCAAACCACTCCGAAAAACGTCTTGCAATTTCTACGTCAAGCCCGTCTGTAAGGCTGCTGTAGAGTTTTCGTATAGATTTTCCGACTGCGGGCCCAACAGTTGACGGGGATAGCTTGCATACTTCTGTAATCAAGCTATCATAGTAAATTTGGGCCTGTGAGGACTGAGGTAGGACAAGAGAGGCGCCAAGCATGGTCTACCATGAAACATGTTACGAAACGATTCAAAGAGAGAATGACCAATCAAATATACCTCGAGCAAAGTGCTTTCTAATTGCCAATCATAAGTTACGAGGGGCTCCACCTCAAGAGGAGGTGCTCCAGGTTTAGGTTTGAAGGTCCCTGATACAACCCACTTTGGATATTCGAGTAGAAGTCTAGCAGCTTCTTTACGATTCACCTCGAAGATATCAATTATAGCAAGAAGGTCGGTGCGAACAGCGTAACCGGCTGGCGTGTTCGGGTCAGGAGTGACCTAGGGGGAAGGTTTAGATATGCGTAGCAGAAGCAATTGTCAAAAAAATGAAGTAGCCACATACGTCGTCACCAAAGAGCCTCAAAAAATATTCTGGCCATTCTTCCCTCTTGATCTCGGACTCCTCTGCTTCAGTGGATAAGCCATCCAGTTCTATCACTTCGGGAGGGACCAGAACCGAGGGTAGGACGAATGCACTGAACGTCGATGTATCTAGGGGAGGATATTCAGAGTATGGTCTAGGGTATGGTCCTACAAAGTCTGAGCTTTCAAGTGCTTTCAACACGACGAGGGCAGTATCCAAAAGCTAAAATTGATCTTATCATTCCCGCAAAAATAGCAGTTAGAACTCGAGCACACCTCATCAGCATTTTCCACCGTCACAGCGGAGGAATGTAATCGTACTATAGGTTGTACGATCCATTTCCCAGAAGTGGTAGTTTCTGTATACATTTGGATGGATGATATTATTTCACGCGAGAAAGTGGGTGTAGCTAAGGTCAAGACGGCGCCGGCCTATTGGTTATGAATATCGCAATAGCAGTAGTAGCAAAAAGGGCATGAGCGTACGATCATTAGACCTTCCGCGGCACACAATGCAGCGCGTTTAGCGCGCCCGTGCGAAACACCGAATTCGTCCAGAACCGCGGTAAAAGATTGCAACAGAGCAGCAAAAGACTCGGTTGAGATAAGCTGAGCGGAAGTCAAGTGAGCAAAAAAATGGATCTGCGATATTTGAAATAAGATTTTGAACATGGGCAACAAGAACATATTGCAACGTACGCAAAGTCGAGTTTCTCTCCACATTAATTTGTCCACATATGCCTGAAAGCCTTTCCAGAATTCCTCCAAGATTTGTTTTCCCAATGAAATCTCATCTGCACCTATAGAATCTCCACCCTGGGACGGATTGTTATGCAGCAGTCTGAGCAGGGCGGCATAAAATGGAATTTTGTAAGGTTGTTCGGTTACGCTGTGAAAGCTTCAGAAAAAAAATGAATATCGAGGATTCGATATGCAACGTACCCTATATGAAAAGACTCGGAGAGATTACAGATATCCGGGGGTGCCAGTTCGCGAATACTTGTTTCCACAGCGGATATTTCTTGCAGTGGATCCTTATATATTTTATGAATCTTATGTTGTCCCTTGGGTTGTTTCCAACTCACCACTTCTCCCAACCTGATAATAGTATTTTTCATTCTTTCTTGAGGAGACTCGACAACATCCCGGCGACGTTCATCCTCATCATCTGGCCAACGAGTTGGGATCATTTTTCACTGTTGTAGAAGTTCGAGCCGAGTTCTCTCCGTACCTCGGTAATGCCTTCTGCCTCCTCGATAGTGTCTGTTGTAGCTCATAGAAACTTGTACAAACTGTGATCATGAACGTTTAAACGGAACCCAAAATCAGTCATATGATCGTCACGTAAGCAGGGAAAATTGGCAATTAATTGAAGTGCGTCATTTCTGCTATCGACCCAGATACAAGTGACTGTCGGTGTATCAACATTTCAACCGTTACAACGACTCAAAAGACTCTTTGAAATCATTCAACAAAATATTTGGATCCCCCCAATCTTCATTTACAATTTATACTTATCCCAGGCTTTGCCTAGGCGTTCATGCAACATAACATGTTCAAAACAGCCGCCACCAAGATTGCTCATAATTCGACCATCCCTTCGCTAGGCGGAAACAAGGATCTCAGGCCTTTACAGGGCCTAATTACGGCTGAAAAATCAGTGCTCATCTCGTGAGTATTGAGTTTCTAAGAGTAAACTCACGAGTAACTCGTTCTAAGGCTTCAAAGGCTGAGTGTGGATTTTGGTAAAGCCGCTGAGGCGTTGCGTGTCTGGGGCTCTGGTGAAGGCGAAGATTTACTCGTCAGTCCATCTCCTTAATTTCATGTAACTCTCGGCTGAAGTTCAATGTAGGATACCCTATCCGCATCCACCAACATTCTCACTCAATTTGCTGCCGCTCTTTCCAATTATGCATCGCATGAACATGCTATCCGAGATCACATGAAAGGAATTCGTTCTCGAGAAGAAGCTTTGGATGAATTGAAACGACGTCGAAAGGCACTCATCAGCAAAGCTGATACTGCGGAGAAGAAACTTTCCAAAATGTCACCGGAGCATAAAAACCTCGGTGTGCAAACGGATACATTGAACCGTTTGCGGGATGAGATTCGCTCGATGGACTCTGAAATCATGTCAGATGAAGCTTCGTTAGGCGACTACAAGCGTTCCAGAACCAAGGCTTGGATGGGCCTCAAGTTTGGTGGACTGTTGGAGTGTTGTGAGAAGGGGACTATTATTGGCGAATTTGGTCGTCTCGTCATCAATGTCAGTGAAACTTCACGGAACCAGTCTCTATGTCTAAGTTTTTCTTAGGAAATCCCGGAAGAAACAACGCAGCCGGGAATGGCTCGCCCAATGTACATGAATCATCAAAAAGTGAACTCGCTCATCAGCGATGCTACTCGCTGTGTTGACGAAGTTGCCTTTTCCACCGCTCCTGCTCCTGGCACTGCGCCTCCCGTACATCAAGGTATGGCCGATTATCTTGCACCACCACAGGGATTGGGTACAGGTCAATTTCTTGATACATCGGATATAACAGGCAACATGGGCTCCAGCATTCCTCCCTCCCCGACCTCTCTTAATGCCTACCCAGAAGCATCTCGCAGTGCGGATGATTTTGGTGTAGCTTCTAGAAACTCTCCCATTGCGAGCAGGTTTTCTACATTCCCAACTACGAGTGGTAACGGCGGTGCTGGGTTCTCGCTACGCGACGGCTCATCATATCATGCTGAAGATGATTCTTTTTCATCTTCCATTGCAGCCGCTTTGGACGCGCGAAAATCAACCGAAGAGCCCGCACCGTCGTACGAGACACACCAAGTGCATCTGACGCGGCCACCTGCTGGTGCTGCACCTCCTCTTATGATGCCAAGTCCTTGGGAATTGCAAGAAAGTGCCTCACAAAATACCAATCAAAGGGCAGTCAGCGCATACGGCGACGACGTTGGTCTGGCATACATGACTAATCCCGAAGAGGAACCACATCCTGATCATGGACTTGACCATCAACGTAACACAAGCAAAGAAGTTCACTTTGGTCAAGTTCAAGATATTGCCATAGAGTTGGACAACCGACATGAGCAAGGAAATATCGAGAACTATCAAGCTGACGGGATTGCCCCTCCTGGCGAAGCTCGTTCCTCGCCTAAGCGTGTACCCCCTCCTTCGATGAGCCCAGAAGAAGAAGAGCGTGCGTTAAATGCAGATGCTGCCAGAAAACTCAGTCGAGAAATGGACTCTTTCAGTTTTGACCCTTCTTCCTCAGCTCTCTCTGCTATTCCTCCCCCGATAGTCCAACCTTCACAGGAACGAGGGGTAGAACGGCCTTCTTCCCTTACACCTGAATTCGAGACTAACAATCGATCGACATCTCCTTTGATTCCACCTGTAGCTCCATTCGCTCAGCAGCGTGGCGTTTCTCCTAGTCCTATTGACATTAATTCGCATCATGATGATATTGAAAAAACTTCTTCCCCCATTCATAATTCCCCACCCAGGCTGACGATATCCGACCGTACAGCATCATCAATATCGAATGGATCCAGTTATAGGACACCTCCTGAGTACCCTCGTTCAATTGGCACCTCGCCTTTCGGTCAACGCTCTAACTCATCTTTCTCCGGTAGTATGCCATCCTCTCCTGCTATTGGTGCTCCGCGAACCATATCCGCTGCAGCATTTCGACGGCCTGCTGGTGCTCCTGGTCGTACAACAAGTGCCGATCTTGGCTCGGGATCTGGGTTGAGTGGTAGCCATCTAGCTGATGTCAGTCCTCTGCAACCAAAAAAGCGAGGCCTTCCTAATGCTCCAAGCTCCTCTTTGTCCCATTCTAATCCTTCTCTCCGACCATATGAGGCACATAACCTCAATGCAGGCAACCGTGTCTCGCAGGCAGGTTCAGATGATTATGATTATATCAGTGCATACACAGATGCACCCCAGGACACGGGAAGCCCCCAGAGAAATGATTATGGGAGTCTCGGTCAGGTCAGAGTGACGAATGACTTGAATCCGTCATCTCCTGGAACGCCTGTGGAGGGGCAACATCCGAATCGTCCAGGATATGGAGAGGGAAGATTTGCAACGAACTTGGAGGGTGAATTGAGGTAGTTGATGAGTCAGGGATGAATCGGGAACGAATAAGGAGGAAGGAGAACGGTTACGATTGTCTTGTTTATCTACGAATCAAATCAATTCTGTAATTTCTTAGGTGATCACACGAGCGCTTGAAGTTACTCACGCATGTCCTTCCGTCTTGTAAAAAATCGTACCTTCATCTATGCCTCTTCCCGTTTCTATGCTACCGAAATTAGCAATGCGTCACTCAAGCCCTCTCCGTACGGGCAACCGCTCTTTCAGTCACATTCTCATCTTAGTGCGTTTTGTATAGTGTCGATCCAGTCCCCTCAGTGACGCAAAACGCCTTTCTCAGTCAAGCCTGAGGAGCTAACTCCGGGTATACACGCGCAAGAATATGAGGATAGACGAAGGAGCCTCATGAATCGCCTCCCCGATAATAGCCTTGTGGTCTCTCTAGCTGGCACCATCAAATACATGAGCGGAAGTGCGTTGTGTTTTGCCTGGATTTTAGTGACAGCAAGCTGAACTCTTTTTTTTACCAGAAATCTTGTGAGTCCGTCTTCATAACTTCGGAATTGGAAACCAACGATCATCCATCTGTCAAGCTACAAGTTCCGCCAAGCCTCTGACTTTTGGTATCTCACCGGATTTGAGGAACCTGATTCTGCAGTGGTACTAGGTGTGTAAACGGGATGCTTATTTGAGCCACTTGTTCAAAAAGCAAACTAGAAAAGAATCATTCAGCTCGGGGCTACCGGATGACCTTATTTTCTTCCGGTAGTGATTCAAACAAAGAGCAGTGGGATGGTGCCAACACTACATTCGCTGATGCTCGCAGAGTTTTTCAAGTCGATGATGCTCGACATATTGACGATTTTCCATCACATCTTCGCTCTGTCGTTCACCAATATTCCAACGTTTATGTCGACCTTCCCTCTTCTCGAACGCGACGTACATCGAAAGCGACCACGAAGTCCCTTCTGAAGTACCTGAGCGGTCGTTCAGAAGCCGATCTTGTTGTCGAGTCGCTAGGAAAATCACGTCCGAAACCCTTAGCTCCTGAAGTTGGACGTCTTCGCGCAATCAAAAGTGCTTCAGAGCAAAAGCTCATGAGGATGGCTGCGGATATCAGCGGGAGGGCGCACGCCAAGGCAGGTAACTTCCTTGTTTAGAAGATATGGACCTCATATGGAGTGTGTAGACGATGCGCTTCACACGACCTGGATTATCGGAAGCTGCTCTTGCTGCACACTTTGATTATCTTTGCTCCCTTTCAGGAGCACAACGTCTTGCTTATGTTCCTGTTGTGGCTTCTGGGTATGCATCTTTCTGTGAACACGTCTACAGCTAATAGAAATATATCTAGACCTAACGCTCTTATAATACACTACACACACAATAATCAACTCATATCTCAGGAAGAATTAATTCTTGTTGACGCTGGTTGTGAATACAAGTAAGTCAAATTTGATTATAGCATTGAGAAGTATAACTAAATATGTCTTGTTTCCTTTTCTATAACATCTTTCATCATGTAGTGGTTACGCATCAGATATTAGTACAAAATTCCTTTTCAGCTACGAAATTTCGTTCTCACTGATTTACTTATGTAGCTCGGACCTACCCGGCGAATGGAACTTTCACCCCACCCCAACGTGACTTATACTCCGCAGTTCTCTCCGCCCAGAAGGCACTGGTAGCTCTTTGTCATGAAGGCTCAAACCTGACTTTGCACGAACTCCATCGAAAGTCTTGCGAGTTACTCCGCCAAGAATTACTTCAACTAGGATTTCATTTGCATCCGGGAGACCTCGAACGCCTGTACCCTCATTTTATCAGTCATCCTATTGGGATAGGTATGGATTTCCTCGAGTTACTCGTTGTACCAAACCGCTTATATATCCCTTGCCAGACCTGCATGAGTCCGATAACTTTTCGCGGAGCGGAAGGTACTTACATCTGTGTGTCATTGGACATTGCTAATTATTCGCCATCCCATAAGTCTGAAGGCTGGTATGGTGGTCACAGTTGAACCAGGAATCTATGTCCCTCCTTCCCCTGCTTTTCCGAAGCATTACCATAATCTCGGCATACGTATTGAAGTACGATTCACAGCTCATTTTAGCGTGAGTCCTGCTGATGCCAATTTTGCAGGATGAGGTTCTGGTTGGAAAAGAACATCCTGTGGTACTATCAGCAAGCGCTCCTAAGGAGGTAAGCAACAAGCACGAGTGCTTAAACTCTTACTCAATATGCCATGCCATCAGATTGTGGACGTGGAGGGTGCTTGTCAGGGATCGCTGGGTCTGGAGTCTTTCTGACAGAGGATCGGATAGGATAAGTTGTACATATACAAGGTCGATATGATGCACAATAACCACAGTAACATCGTAACGGGTTGAAATCATTATCATGAATGGGGCCTGTGTCTGCGAGCGGCTAAGTACAAGCCATAAGTACATCAACTGGAGACTGGCAGTAACTGAGTCAGAGTAAGAATAAGCAGTAAACGGAAAAGAGTTTTTTGTTCCCACGGAGCCTTCAGTTCGACAGTACTAGACTACTAGTCAACTGGTCGTCGAGGGTTCGTACCATCGGTATGTATAACCAAACTCTTTCCTTCCCCTTTGGTGTTCTATCTAAATGGTTCTAGATATGGCTACTTTTCTGGCTTTTCGCGCAGCAGCCAAAAGGATCTGCTTCAGCCCCTCTCATCGAATTCTCAGCTATCCACCTACATGTCGCCTGCATGCTTCAGTAATCATTTACTCTAGATACAATAAACTCAAGAACGAAAAGATACCATTTGCTGAAGTGCATCTTGTGGAAGACAGCGGACAGCTCGTAAAGATTGCCTTGCGGGATCTTCTAGCGAAAGTTGACAAGGAAGTATCCTACGTCGAGCTGCAGGCGGCCGAACCGCTTGCTGTGGTGAAGATAATCGACAAGAAGGAAGCAGCAGCCCGTCGAAAACAGGCGAAAGAGCAGCAAAAAATGAACGCGAAAAAGAATGTAAAGAAGGAGTTTCAGTTTACGTGGGGCATGGCTATAGGCGATCTGGAGCACAAACTTGACAGGGCGAAGGCTGAGTTGAAGAGGGGATCCAGAGTAGATTTGGTCTTCGCGCCAAAATCCGGACAAAAGTCACCACCAATGGCACAGATGCGCGAAAGAATGCAGCTTATTGCGGATAAAGTGGCGGACGTAGGCGTAGAGTGGAAAAGCAGAGAGTTGAGCAGAGGCATCGGTGCACTCTTTGTGCAGAGTTTAGGTTTACAATGTGAAGAGGAAGGGAGCGCAGAATGATTAATAGTCATCGTTAATATTACATTGCTACTTTTGGTTCAATTGCCACGCTTTTCAATTACAGGGGGATTATCTATTTTCTATGAAAGCAAACTCCTCTTTATGCCTCCTAGATATTCCTTTCCTCCTACGCAAGACGTTGGGAATACGACCCAACGGGAGTCCCTTCTGCTTTTCAACACGTAGTGCAAACGGAGTTTGGGCCATTTGGGCAACAGGGAAAGCCCAAGGACCTCTATACCGCGATACTACAGGTCTCCGCCTACGTTGACGCAATAATTGGTTATTAATATCCTGGCCGATCAACATATATTGCACTCCAACGGGAAGTTCGAAACCAGCTTTAACCATATCCTCCGCCACAAGAAGAATAAGGTCTGTATTTTGCTGACTCTGGGATTGACCATACTGTCTGTACAGCCAATTCGCGAACCGTATGTGCTGCTTCCAGTGTGATGGGGTTGTGCGCGCGCGACGAGGACGCTTTCGCGCATCCCTCGATACGATGCGTAACATGGCGTTGAAGAACCTCTCATCAGGCTCTGGGAGTTGAAGATCCCCCCAAGAGTGAACTTCTTTGTCGTTGTTGCTAACTTTGAACGCCTGTAAGGCCTTATATACCGAACGTGCTCCACGTAGCATACTTTGGTAAACAGACACGCCTGACTTGTGCCCAGCAACAGAGCGATCGAGAGGCTGTCTGGATCTGGCATTTTGTTGCTGGATGTAATGCGCCCAGCCAACGACATAGCGATTCGAACGGGGCTGCCAGGCGGTGGCAGTCGAGGGGAGCGGCGACCGGTAAGGGTGTTTACGGGACTCGTTACCGTAACAAACAAGCATGAGCGTGTAAGCGTGGACAGGCAGACACCATGGTTCACGCCCGTGATTGAATTCTGGTAGCCAGCTCGCCCGCTCGGCTTCTTTGGCCAGATACCAGACGCGCTCAGCAAGACCAGTCCGACCATCTTTCACGACGGCGTTAAGAATAGCAACAAAAAAGTATGGTCCATAAGCGACGACGCGACGAAGACAATCCATACGAGATTGCTGTCGGAGATGTTTGATTTGTTCAGGTCCTAAGTCTCCCCAGGAAGGATGATCGACGATGGCGAGTTCGGGTAAAAGACCGAACAGAATGTTAGGCACAACATCTGCACGACCCACGGAAACAAGGTAGGTTATGTAGGCAGTGAGAGTATGAGTGTCAGCGCCGAGTTTCTTCGTTGTTGGGGGACACGGTAAAGAAAGCTCGTGGGACTCTGAGCCTAATCGTCTGAGGGCTGACGAGAAACGGTCGTTCGAAGAACCTCGAGTGAGATCGAAATTCGCAGGCGACGCAGCCGGAGAAAGGTCGATAGTGCCAAGCCCGTGTTCGTTCATGTCTTTCAACATGCGGAGAACTGTGTCTACCATTATTGGAGAGCGGAGCAAACGACCGGCAGATAGGATAATATTATAGGTTACTGTGTTCGGGATAGGACGACGGTATCCACTGTGCTTCCAGAATGGATCTTGCATGTACTGCAAGATATTATTGGCATAACTCGGAGAAAGACGGTGGCGAAGAGCGTAATGTAGAAGGGAGTTGCAGGCGGGTAAATCAAGCGGCCGAGAGTTGTCCAGAACCGGTTTCCAGCGAGTCAAGAGTTTATTTGGCTTCGTTTTCTCGATCCGCATTCGAGGTGGATAGCGGACAATGCGCTCTAAGACATGATGAAAATAATCATAGGCCTTTACCTGCACAGGATGACCGTCTATCTTCGTTACCCAGACCAGATCATCTCCTTTGGGACAGTTATAGAGCAAGCGTATCAAGGACGAGAGATGGGAATAAGGAATTTGACGGATGTCGAACAAGTACGCAAGATTCGCTAGCGCTTGCAGGGCTGCTTGGAAAGATATCTGATATGCATCATCTTCAACTGGATCCCTGGACAAAACACCCGCAATTGATTCTACCAGGTCTTTCAAAATATCAAATGGAGGTGAGGGCGATGACCTGCGTAGGAAGCGGTAATGTACCAATGATTCCTGCTCAAGCTTGGCATCCTCCTTTATATCAGGGGAAGCAAGTTGACGCCCGATAGCATCTCGGACAGCACAATCCTTCAGGATTATGGTGATGAGAAGTGAAGCGGCTATAAGCTCTCCGTGGAATAAGAAGGAACCGATGAGTGTCCGATACATACGCTCTGTTCGCTGCTGCTGCTTCATATTACGTGCAGACATGAACAGATGCAAGGCGGCACGGCTACCCCTTCCTCCAGTGAAAGTTGGGTTCAGGGATAGTATAGTGCTTTTCGGAAGAAGAGTTTTCAGGAAATTGAATAGCTCGTTCCCAGTTGAACGCGGGATGTTTCCATCAGAGGTTACCAAGGCCTCGAGAACGGCTTCGAACGTTTTGGGATTCAACGGTACACCGTTGTCCATCAATATCTTCGCAGCTACTTGGGCTCTGCGAGGCAAACCGAGGCGAAGCAGGCCGTGTACTAGAGCATGGCCAGCGAGCCTTGAAGACACTGGTCGATAGAACTCTATTCCACTCGCGCGGTAGCGTTTGGAAGGTGCATTGTGGAGAAGAGGTTTATTGGAGAGGCGAGCAGATTCCACAATGATATAGGCGGTATGTAGATCCTGCGTCTGTAGAGCAAGACGAACTGATTGCCACACTGCACGGGAGAGCTGGGAAGGTGTTAAGTCGTGTTCGTTTGTGTTGGTCCCAGAGAGCAGATGGTCGGAGGTGTCGAAAGGGTCGGAAAAAGTGTTTCGTTGAATGGATGTCGAAACAGATCTATGGAGTACGAATGCAGAAGTTTTTTGACGGATATTTACTCGAAGACAGTGGGTCGGAGTATTTCGAAAGACCACGGAGGGCTGTACAATATTCTGCAAGGGCCTTGTAGAGTAATGCGTGATACAGCTAGCCTTCGGGAACCAATTGCATCGCATGTAGGTCTCATAACTGGATGGAAGATTGGTAAAGAGCAGTTTCTCCAAGTCCGACACATACCAGATTTTGCCGACCTGCGCCTTCTACAAACATACACGCTGTTGCCGGTGAAGTTGAAATTTGAAGCTGGAAGATCATGCACGTGCCACTACGTCCAGAGTCCAGACTGTGTCACTCCGGTAAAATTCAGAACTTTCAAGAATCAAGTTGAGGCTCGATTTCAGTAAGCTACATGATATCTGGCTACATGAGGTTCTACAAAGACCGTATTGGAGCTGCTGTTCCCTTTTCTGATGCTGTTCGTAAGCTAGAGAAAGATCCAGTTAGTAGTCGTCTTGTTACAAAAGTGGTAACCAATGCCTATAATCATCTCCATTCTGCGTAATGTATCGCACCCAAGGCAAAGCCTGATATCCAGATTTTTCAACAATTTTGAGATATCGTACCTTATGTAAAAAGCTAGTCAGAGCAAGAAAATGAAAATGAAATATAGCCAATCAACCTGAATGCCTGAGACGGTGAAATATGGTATCTCGAATCTAACAGTGATAGGCGCGCGAGGAGGCGGATCGTTCTCGTTTTTGACACTGGGAAGGCCAAAATGTGCTCTCATGAGAAACTCTTTTCCACCGGCCAGTTGCTTGATCTTCCAAACGAATGCTGACTTGTCTGGTGCATATTGTACAGATCCCGTTGATGCCTGCGTGGGACATGAATCAAATTTGCAGATAGTTACGGAATGAGAGGCGAACCCTGAACTTCGGAGAGTCCGCGTCATCGGGAACGGGAACATATATCTCAACATTGTTTGCAGTCGACCGTCGTTTGAATTGAGCCACAACTTTGACCATGTATTCAACCTGGAGAAAGGTAGGAAGAAGGTAAACCACGGAAAACAATAGTGACATACTCTTGAGCCTCGATGGCTTTCAATGGCAGCTTCAACCCAGATTAGAGGCTTTACAGGAGTAGATATACGATAGCTCATGAGCTCAAATTCTCCGTCAGGTGGAATGAAGGAAATTGTGCGGTCGTTCTCGAACCGGGCCAAACGAACACACTGGTGGAATTTGACGTCTTCCATTTCGATGGATTTTCCTCGTGCAGCTTTACGAATGAATGTTGGAATTCAGTAGGCAGACGTAGGAGGATAGCTCGAGACGCACTTTTGCCCGTACTCTCGAACATGACCTTGTCATTGAGTCCTAGTCTAAGCTCTGGCATTCCAGAAAGATAACACTTCATTTTAACAGCACCGAGGATTTCTGAACGTATGACGGTTCCAGCAGTATTAACCTTCATAAAGCCATAATTATACGACGTTTCAGAAGTGAAATCTACATTGTGACTCACCAATAAGTTTACACTTTCGACAACATCTAAGAAAACCTCATTCTTCCTGTATTTGATGCCTTCTGATCGCCAGGAAACGGCATTGGTAACAGCAATCGGAGGGCGGACTTGGATTTCGAGTTTGTGGGACTCCTGTGTGATATATTCTCGGAGGATTTTGCTCTCAGTGGTTTGCGGGTAGCCAAAGTCCATCATCTCATCCATGAGTTCGTAGATTATCACGAAATTATCCCGAATAGACTCCTCTTCGAGTTCTTTGAAGTACTCAACCTAGAAGCGTTTAAAAAGCGTAAAATTGTCAACGAATTTGTGCGTACTAAGACTTGGCTGAGTCGATGCAGAAAGATAATTATCTCGGCGGCATTCGAGTTTCTCCTGGATAACGCGAGAACTAGACATATTTCAGGTCAGCGCCCCAACTTGAAATAGATGCTGAAGACACACGCACGATACAAGTTTGAATGTCTAATATGCATGTAATTGACACCCTCCCTGGAGAAACACGGTGTAACCTGCTGGCCCTCCTCCTCGATTTCGAGTATAATGGGTAGAAAACGTTCAACGTATGAAGGAGGCACGTCATCTCGATAGGATCGTTGAATGAGCGGTTTGCCTTTGAGGTCGAGGATGGCGATTAAGGATGCCATGTAGATGATCGGAGTGGGAGGAAAGGTGTTAGGCGCTAATGTTCACAGATTAGGCGCTGTATAATATTCACATGCTACTACTATATATACACCCTGCTTCCATGCACTTGTTGTTTCTCTGAACTTCGAGCTACGCTCGATGCAATGGTCAAGAATTGGGATACATATACTAGACAAGGGCTTGATTTAGTTTCATCAGCTGCATCTATCGGCTTCTCCGTGGCAAAAACAGGTACAAAGATTGGCGTAAGTAATAACCATATTCTGGTCCTTGGATTAGAGAAGGCTAATTAGTGCGCATACAGTTTGCTCTCACTCGAGGTATCGCGTCTACGACTGTTGGCGTCTCTGCAACTATTGTAGATGCTGCTCTCTTTGGAGGCGTCACCGTAACACGACCTGTCGTAGGAGGCGCAGTTTCTGCCGCTATCGGACTAGTTGAACAATTGACTCTTGTGCCTATTCATCTCGGCGAATACCTCACTTCTACTTCAGTCATAGCTGCTCATAGCTCTATAAATCTGCTCTCCGTCATCTTTCCTGGCAGCCATGAAGCCTCGTTTTCCCTCGCGTCGTTCATTACACTTGTTAAACGTGAATGGGCCCAACCTATCGACGGCGAGAATTTGCCAGAAAAGCAATTCGGTGTAACTTCTATAGCTCGTGCGGTCTCGGCGTGGGCTGCTCTTCAGGGTGTCACGCAAGAGTGGCAGGAGCGTCGTTGGTTCAAATATCTGAAAGAGATTGACGTCAAGAACACCCCCAAGCATTTCGATTCACTGCGAAACAGAAAGTGAGTCGTTTTTAGCATTTCATTGATGCGCATGCATGATATAGATCAATGCAATGTAGGGGCTCTCGGGTACGCGTTACCTCCGACGTGATATTTCCAGGTAATCTGGGTCAACTTGTCGCTGCTGATATTGGCGAAGCTCCCAAACGCGCGCAAAGCATATTCATCAGCAATCGAGTCATTTCCCCTCCTCCAAATACTCAAGTCAAGGGAGTTCCCCATTCCTCGAGGCGGCTTTCCAATACCGAATTGAAGGTCGAACTCCGTCGACTTTCTAAGATGGTACTAGCGGGATATGGCGGTGCTAGTCTACTTTTCTTTGGAATACCTCTGTCTTCATCTATCGGTGCTAATGTTTCATCGAGCTCTCCTCAGGCGAAAGCAGAAGAAGCACAACTTGCAAATGCGGTCAATGCTTCGGAAGCTGAGGCTGAAGGTGATGGATTGCGGCCCGAAATCATGCATGAAGAGCAATACTCATGGTGGGATGTCTTGCTGGGAAGACACGATCATGATATTTTGGCCAAATCTGCAAACGACCCCAATGAAACGATTCAAACAGAAATTAAAATCGGACGAGAGCATCTTATGCCTAGGTTTTGGGTTCTCACAGATCATTCTCGTGCTCAAGTGGTGCTCATTCTTCGAGGTAGGTCGTTCAATGGCATTGGAGGTCCTTAACGAACGCTATAACAGGAACAATGTCGTTGAATGAAATTGCTGTTGATTTGTCGTGTGAACCAGAGGAATTTGAACCCGCCTCGACCGCCAACAGCGAAGGACTCATCCCGGGCCAATATAATTTCCCCAGACGGGCTTCCGCACCTTCTATTGATTCATCGATCACTCCAAAACGATATCTCGTTCATAGCGGCATGTTGCGCATGGCACGGGCAATGGGCGATGTTGGAAAGCCTGTACACCTTGCGGTCCATGAAGCATTGCAAAGGAATCCGGATTACGGTGTGTAGATCTTCGTAATCCTTGCATATTTTAACTAAACTCTGAACACTGTTATTATAGGATTGGTTATGTGCGGACATAGTTTGGGGGCAGGAGTAGCCGCGCTGCTCGGACTAGTAGGTGGAGCTTTCATCCTACCCAATGTATCACGAGCTGATCTAGAACGGAAAATGGAAGATGTGGGCAGATCCAAAAACTTGTCTCACAGTTCATTCGAGCGGGCTTCCCATAGACCGGCAAGTTTCCGTATACTGCTTTGCTCCACCGTAAGTATAAAGTTCTGCACCTCGGATCTTCACAATGCTCATTCCTCGCCATATCAGCGCGCTCACCGATGCATCTCTCAGCAAATTGGCGGACGACCTTATCGTCTCTTTTGTATATTCACATGATGTTGTGTCTCGATTAAGCTTGGGCTCTGTGAGAGACTTGAAGAATGCGGCCAGCTGGCTGTGCGAGGCAAACGAAAGTCATCGCCGGGATGCAGGCTATAGCGAGGTGACAGCTCGTGCCAGTAACTGGAAAGCTGGCAAAGGCTCCGCAGATGATCCTCATTGGGTGCTCATCCTGTCTACTTCTTCTTGCCGAAGCTAACCCCGAAACCTTTCAGTTTATCGCGGTTCGTAAGACGCTTGAAGCAAATATGAGAATGTCCCATACATTCCCGCCAGGTCGCATACTATGGGCTTTGCGTGAGAGCGACTTGCATCCTTCTCACCGGTTGGACACCTCAAAAGTACTTGACAAGTTAAAACTATTCGAGGTTCTTGATGTAGCCGAAGTGTTTTCTCAGATTGTATTCGCTAAGGACATGCTAGGGTGAGTTCCCAGACCAGTCTTCACAATCCGTGTAGCTTGCTCAGAGCAAATTCAAATAATTTTTATTCAGAGCACATTTGCCACACAAGTATGATAGTGTATTGCATGATCTACTTTGATTGCATGTTGTATGTGCTACGTCTCCTATCCGTCTTCCTTTGGCATGGTAATTGCTCTGTCGTGAAGAAGAGATGCAAGGTACATCGCCGAAGGGGTAGTTGTACAATCCCAGCGGTCTTTTCATTAGTTGTTCATGGGTTCATCCTTACACTTGTGACCAGGTTTGAATGTATAGCTGTGGATTGAAATCAAGACGAACTTCGCAGTTCCAACATAGTCTGACATTCTTGGTTCCCTTGGCATGGCTATTTTCTGGTGACTACAATGAAGAAACTGCCTGAGGTCCGAGATGCCATTCCAGTACATTCTACTTGATAGAATATTTTAAATTTTGTCTCGGCGCATTTCGACATTCAGAGGATGAAAGATAGCTTGATTTTGAAAGAAGTGGGAAGAAGATGAAGCAGCAATCCGTTGATAATCGGATTTCTGACAATCTGTGTAAGTTTTAAGCCGGTTTTTAGTGATCTATCCTGAGTAAAGGAAAAAACCGGATAAACAGGAACCAATGTCTTCTCGATTAGAACGTCCTGTAGAAGCCTTTAGACTCCGGCTAGGCCCTCACGCATGTGCCAGATTCTAGAGCGAAGTTCGAGCATGTTGGTACAGTACGTGGAGGAGGAGCATTTATAGCACACTTTCAGGGACAGTTTCGGTATTATCGTGCCGAGGGGCCGATCCCGAAAGCAGAAATATGACGTCATACTCGGTTTTCACTTTTCCCTATATATGCGCGATCGAGGCCGGAAAGAATAAATTTCAAGATTCAATTTTTTCACCACATCTAACTAAACGATGGGTGCTCTATTCCATGTGTACGTCTTGTGCTCATATTCTCCTGGCTACCAATTCTCATTAAATTTCTTCTCCAATAGCGAGGGTGTTCCAATAGGGATCACTTCTGTTGCTCTTGCCCTCATCGCATCCATGGGCGGGTTCATATTCGGCTATGATACTGGCCAAATATCAGACATTCTACTCATGCCTGACTTCCTTCTACGTTTTGCCGACTGTTCTTCTGGTGCTACCCTTGCAACCGCTACTGATACCTGCTCGTTCACCGATGTCCGGTCTGGGTTAATAGTCGCTTTATTATCTATTGGCACCCTCGCCGGTGCACTCATGGGTGCTCCAATCGCTGACTTCCTTGGCCGTCGGTACGCCATGGTTGTAGAATGTGGCGTTTTCATTATCGGAGTCATTGTTCAAATCACTACGACTCAAACTTGGCAGCAATTTGCCGTGGGCAGAATGATTTCAGGTCTTGGAGTCGGTGCGCTTAGTGCTGCAGTCCCCATGTACCAAGCAGAGACCGCTCCGGCACAGATTCGAGGTTCCCTTACTGCCACATATCAATTGTTCATTACATTCGGGATACTTATTGCTTGTAAGTATCGAACATCAACATTCACTATAAATGTCACTTAAGCCTTTCCCCTAGATTGTATATCTATCGGTACACGAGGCTACGATGGTCCATCATCGTGGCAAACCGTTGTTGGAATCGGTATAGCTTGGCCTATCATCCTGTCCGTTGGCATTCTGCTCATGCCTGAATCTCCACGTTGGTTGGTCTTCCATGGTACGTGTCTTATAGGATTTAATTGTTTTACTATGATCTCAAAACTTAGGCTGTAGACAAACCTGAACTTGCCCTACAATCCCTTGGTCGGGTACACGGCATGACGCGTGAAGAAGCTCAAAAACATCCCCTCCCTAATAAACACCTTGCCGAAATTCAGAGCAATGTCGATTTCGAGCGTCAGTCCATAGGTCGGAGCGGCTGGATTGACTGCTTCCGGCCTCAGAAGAAGGTTTTATACCGAACACTTCTGGGCATGTCGTTACAGTCTCTCCAGCAGCTCACTGGGGCCAATTATTTCTTCTATTATGGCGCGACAGTTTTTCAGTCAGTTGGAATTTCAGACAGTTTCATCACTCAGATCATCCTTGGTGCAGTTAACTTTGGATGCACTTTCGGTGGTATTTTGATCATGGAGAAAGTCAGTCCTGTAAGCTCTACATTGCAAGAATTTATATCTGAAGGTCGTTCTTATAGTTCGGTCGACGGGGGCCATTAATAATCGGTGGTATTTGGCAAAGCCTATGGCTCTTCGTGTTCGCTGCTGCTGGTACTGCCAAGGTGCCACAAGACAATCCTGGAATTGGAAAGCTGATGATTGTTTCCGCTTGCCTTTTCATTCTCGGATATGCTATGACTTGGGCTCCGTGAGTATTCAAGAAGTATTCCTATTTGTGATACTGACATTTCTTGTTTCAGCGGTATCTGGATTCTCATCGGAGAAACTTTTCCCACTCGCACGAGAGCTAAACAAGCTTCACTCGCCACCGCTTCTAATTGGATCTGGAACTTCCTCCTTGCATTTTTCACGCCTTTTATCATAAACGCCATAGATTTCCGATACGGATTCGTTTTCGCCTCTTGCAATCTTCTTGGCGCCGCAGTGGTGTATCTTTTCCTGTACGAGTCGTCGGATCTCTCGCTAGAGGCCGTAGACATGATGTACAATGATCCCGCATGTAAGCCTTGGACATCAGGAAGATGGGCGCCTGCTGGATACTCAAGCCGAAAAGACATCGAAGAACAGGGAAAAGCAGCCCAGGCTCACAAAGATTTCGCACCAGGAGAAGAGAGTAGGGTCGAAAACATCAACGGTGTCAGTGAAAAAACAACGAACAATGGAAAGATTGAGGGTGTTAACGGGGCACCGTATTCGATGGCTCCTCAAGCAGAATGAATGGAAAGCAACTCACATTCACCTTGTATACCTACACTGTACTTCTCTCAAACACAAAGCACTTGTATTCCGCTGTATTATTTTACACACACATAAATAATAATGTATAGTCCTTCTGAGAGATAATGTACATATCAGTTACGACCAATATCCCACGCAGAGGCAAAGTAATTGGTTCGCATCGTACCACTTCGATGATGTATACAACCCTTTCTTTTCTCTACCATGTCATGGCCTATCGTCGTAATTACCGGTGCGAATAGGTGACATCCCTTTGTGCATCTTACTAGTTGTCTTCACATCTCACCTCACTCTACCAGCGGCGTTGGCTTCGGTATTTGCCAACGGTTACTCTGTCAATTAGCAGAAAAAATACCTTCTGACACTCTTATCAAACCGCGAGAACTGTCTGGGAATTCTGAGAAAGATGTCCGCGAAGCAGACCGATTCGTACTTCCCTGCGAAGGCATAACATTGATCATGGCATGTCGAAGTGTTCAGCGAGCGGAGGTCGCGCGTCAAAAGTTGCTTCAAATACTCGACGAACGCGTTGAAGCGCTCAGGAATACCCCTAGTTACGACGGTCATGCGGAATATTTCCGCAAGAATGTTCAAATAAAAATACATTCTGTGGATCTCTCTTCACTTGAGACCATTCCAAAATTTGTCCAGGAGTTAGAGATTAGGTGCGTACAGGACGACATTTACTCTTTCCTATCTAACCTTCTGTGTACTGGCTAGCTATCCTTATGTGTCTCATTTGATATGCAACGCCGGAATTGCCCCGTTCATTTCGATAAACTGGCCGTCGTGCATTCATCAACTTTTGACAGACCCATTGGGAGCAGTTACTACGCCGACATATTATTTACAGACATGGGGCGAAGTGAGTCAGGATGGATACGGTTTTACGTGGCAATGTAATGTCTTCGGTCACTATACCCTTGTACGTCGTATGCGTTTCATTGTCTCGGTCACACTGACACGCATAGGAAGTACAAAGATTTATACCATTTGCTTTCCTCTTCGAAGTACCGTTATGATTCACGCGTCATTTGGACCTCTTCTTTGGAATCGAAGAAAACTTATCGTGCGGAAGACTGGCAACTCAAAGAAACACACGATCCGTATGGCTCGTCGAAGTACCAAGTCGAGCTGATTTCTGCGGAACTGGATAGACGCGTATCGGATGAACCCAATGCATCGAAACGCGTGAGGCATTTTACTGCTCATCCAGGTGTCACCCATACAAATATCGATCTCAATCTCATCAATCCTTTGCTTCACTATCTTAAACATTTCATATTCTATCTCGTATGTTCTTGTTGCATTTTCGATGGAATGATATATACCTGATCCCTCACCTTGTAGGCACGTTGGATTGGATCTCCTAACCATCCCATAGCGCTCGACAAAGGCGCTGTATCAGTTGTCTGGCTCTCTATAATCTCTTTATCCACTTTGACTGTATTCAGCGCATCGAAAAAAGGTTCCAAGGGCGACCCTTTGTCGAACAAATCTGGTTCGCGCTCAGGTGTTCGCCCTAGACTGAAATTTGCTGCACAGACGGATTTTTGGGGTCATTCGTGTGTTGGGGTGACAAAAATTGAGGGCGGAGAGAAATATAGTGAAGAAGGCAAGGAACTAGTTGATAACTGCGAAAATTTGTATCAAGATATCAAGGTAGCTCGTAAATGATCTGACCGGAACTTCCGGGCAAAATCACATGGTTATTTAACAAATTCTGAGTTACCACGTTGTTTTGTTGTTTGTTTTGACTTCGACTATGGACGACAACCTGGAACTACCAAATAATGATGGACCAGAAATTCGAGTTGGGGATAACCTAGAAGAGGAAGACCAGTCTTCAGGCGATGAGGATGAAGGTCCCGATTGGACAAAGCTGATGTGAGGTCGGGGATGTATCTGATTCTCATCGGCTTATGCGTTGTAATCCGAAGGCCCAAAGCAGCAAGACCGGTCATACCAAAACGAGGAGACAAAGAGTTCGAACCTTCAAAGCAAGGGGGCTCTGGCCTTCAGCAACATATTCTTCAGCGAGCAAGAAACGCAATGTTTGAAGCTCTTCGCGCTGATAGAACGATATCAAAGCACGTTTGATCTTTATTACAGTTCTGTACTCAGAACAATAATGGTTTTCTCTGTCCTCAGTAAATCTATTAGCTACGGAACGTGGCATCCATCATTGGCTCGAGTTTCAGTAACAATATCTCGCGGAATATCAATCGGTACAGTAGGACATTCTGTTCCACGCGAAACCGCTATGACAAACGGGACCGTAAAAACTCAAAAACGGATGGAGCTTCTGCCTGAAGAGGCGATCTATCTCATCGAACGAGGTTCCTTATTGTGCTGGAAAGAGTCTGCGGTGGAATATCCGAACGACGGAACTTTCGAAAGTATCTCCGGAAGTCCAATGACGGTTCAGCAGGCATACACGGAGATGATAGGTAAAGAGGATCTCACTATGGATCGTTATCAGGTCCGTCAATCGGTGCTGTTGACTGCCTTTGACTGACTGACCCGTGTGCAAGGTCTACGCGTATCTGAAGCGCTTGGGTTACACTGTGACTCGTACAAAACCTCCTACCGCATTTTACCCGGTCACCGCTCCGTATCCACCATCGTTATTGACGTTGACATCCTCCTCGTCATTTAAATCAAAAACCTCTGCTCTCTTTTCGTCGTGGATTTCGACAATTTTTCGCACACTCTTTCCAGATTCCTTTGACTGGTGGAGGCCATTGCGAATACGTCGGTGGCTTAAAATGGATAAGAATTACAGTGAGTGCTTACTTTCTGAGTACTTCAAAAGTAGTTAAAGTGTTCTAGGTTTTATATTCCAGTCTCTTCGATTCATTCCATCGGGACACAAGGTTCCGCAATATTCACCTACAGAAACTGAATCCCCTTCCTCGCCATATGAACCTTTTTTCAATCTTTATAAGCCACCCACTCCGTTCAAAAAATCAGCACCCCCTCCACCAGATTACCAAATGGTTGTAGTCAAGTAAGCAGTCTATTTTGATTTTGTTCTCCTGCGTCAACCTCCCCCCCCTAGTGCTCGAACGACACCAATGCCTTCTCTTCGTGAGCTCACGGCGATATATAATAATGCACCTGAACTCCCTCCCCCACAACGTCGAGTGCAGAATCCCCCCCAAATTCAAGGAATCTCGTACAAAAATTCGACTGGGACTACCGGCTCAGATACACCGGCCCAATCACAAACTCATAACTCTAATACTCCCACTTTGATGTCTAGTTCCTCTATGATATCACTCCTCCCTCATGGTTTCACTTCTTGGCTCTATGCAAAACCCACATCCTCACCCCAAAAGCTTGAACGCAGACCAAATCCATTCGCAGTCTTGCGCCAAGGGAAAAAAACTGCCATTATTGCCACAGTGGATGCGGGTACGATCAATATCTTCCGATTTGCGCAGGGAGCATTTGAGACTGGCCCTTGGTTCTAAGTGATAGGGGATGCATCTATTGGTTCTCTCAATCAAAATACATTATTTGGTATCGCGCTGCAACTTACCATTTATCGAAGGTGTTATCATGTAGAAGTCGACGTTTATGTTGATCTCTCACCTTTTCCCGCCAAGAGGGGAAGCTATTTTAGGGAAGACTTTAGGCTAGGGATTGAGTGTTACAGTTGGCCGTTACATAATTATGTCTAAATATGAGGCACCATAACAGGAGCAAAAGTTAGTATGGATTCGAATCGTTGCGAGATCGCGCGCATTTTGCGTGGTGAGCTCCGTATAAATTGGGGGACAGGGAACTCATCTACGAAAGCTGGTCCGCCATGCAATAGGCCATTCTCACCTCGTATCACGTATCACTTCACTCTTATCTATTCCCAGTCCAGGGATAATGTTCCATTCGTCTTTCCTCGCAAAGTACCTTCGATCGCCTCCGCTAACGTGCGCAGCGCAAGTACTCCTTCGGAAGGCTCGAAAAAGCTTGAATTGCCTAAGGACGTATGCCGGTGCATTGGTGTCTCGTATTATTGACCGAGAAGAAAGCCCTGGACATACCTTGCCGAAGTTCATCGTTGTTTCTCCCATCATCAGCACCCAAAGCACATTGTATCGCACGTTCCCTTCCAACACCGGAGAGCTTGTCGATAGACACAAGGAGCGCACGGAGGGTCATATTTGGTTGGTCAGGTTGCCCACTAACAGTCGATGGCACGAGGAGGGCTTTTCGGACTTCCTGGGATGTTGCTGATCATTCAAAGATATAAGTCGAGACTTTTCATTCACCCAGCGAATAAGTGAATACCGATTGCTTCATAATGCCTTGTCCTAAGTGGCTTGGGATCATTCCTTTCCAAAGGGTCTGGATGTATTGGTTCTTCATCAGCAATATAGGGCCATTTCAAGGAGGAGAGGGGTTTCAAGGAGGGAACATCGAGAACAGAAGAGTCTACACCGACGTGTTTGACTTGCATTGTGCTCCCCACAGGCGAAACATCCGAAGACAGATCAGATGTTGTAGTCGAAGAAAGTACTTCTGCTGCAGCTGGAAGGGATGTAGAATTTGACTGCGCCAAACCTCCTTGCATACAGTTGATACAATTTTCATCGAGTTCTTTGTGCTTTTTGTAGCATGCTACAGAGCAGCTATGAGGATCAAATACGTTCATTAGCACGGTATACATGTGACGATAAAGAAAAAAGACACACTAAGGCAAAAAACACGCAGAACAGGAATATTTGCCTTCTCCTTCATTACAAATGTTACATCTTCTCTGGTTTTTTTGCCCCGGTCGAGATTGGCGGAACATCGAGAGGAGCAAGAAAGACCTCGATAAAGTTAAATAACTTTGAGCGCGCAAAACTCATGATCGTCACATGCCAACGCCGTCCCTTCTTTCCCTCTTTTGAATTTCTGAAATAATAACCCACTCTCTACCGCCTCCACCCTCCGCCGTCTACTCTACCCTATTCCCGGAGACCGGAACCCAGCTGTCTTTCAGTTTCATAGACCCTAGGTATGGCGGAGGCTGGAGATGGTAACATCAAGGTTGTTGTCCGATGTAGACCCCTCAATTCTCGCGGTAAGTTTGGATTTTCTGGTCAACAACCACTACAAGCTCATTGAACTCCTTGCTATCTAATGGATTTCAGAGCTTGCGCGCGGCGCGAAGCCACTTATCCGCATGTCTGGCAATCAGACTTTTCTAGATCCACCAGAAGCCGGCTCACAACAGGACACCAAACGTGCTACGGAGAGAAAGCCAATGGCTTTCAGTTTTGACAAGAGCTATTGGTCAGCAGGGCCGAGAGATGAACCTGGATATTGCTCCCAACAAACACTTTACGATGACTTGGGAAAGGAATTATTGGATCATGGATTTGCAGGGTTCAATGCATGTATCCTAGCTTGTGAGTTGTGTTCCATGTCTTTTGCACCTCAGTTCTAATAAAACTCATAGATGGACAAACTGGTATGATTACTACTCACTTAGTTATATAACATACCGATCGAGTTCTCTACGACTAGGTTCCGGGAAATCGTATAGGTATGTGCTCATATGCTAGATTTCATTTAATAAACTCATCCCTTGTTCTTAGTATGATGGGATGTGAGTTCCAGACATATTGCCTTTTGCTGCACCGCTCAACCTATTCCCAGACGGTGCTGACAAGGGAATAATTCCCTTGACTTGTTCAGAGTTATTTGTACGAGTCGATGAACGCAAGGCTGCGGATCCAAACATAAACTTCACAGTCGAGGTTTCTTACATAGAGGTAACCATTCATTGCCATCTATGTGTTATTTCGACAAACTACGTCTGACACGGATTCAAGATTTACAACGAGAAAGTCCGCGACCTTCTTAATCCAAAAAACACTGGTAATTTACGAGTACGAGAACACCCGAGCTTGGGACCCTATGTAGAGGATCTTTCGAAGCTCATGGTCAATAGTTACGGCGAAATGATGACGCTCATGGACGAAGGGAACAAAGCGCGGACGGTTGCTGCCACTAATATGAACGAAACGTTTGTTTCTCGTGATTTGATAATTACACACACGCTAACCGGAATTCATGTTCAGCTCATCGCGTTCGCATGCGGTCTTTACTCTTCTCTTGACCATGAAAAGACATGATTCGGGCACGAATCTTGACACCGAAAAAGTGTCACGCATTAGCTTGGTGGACTTAGCCGGATCTGAACGAGCCAACTCGACTGGGGCAACCGGCCAGCGACTGAAGGAAGGAGCCAATATTAACAAGTCCCTGACTACCCTTGGAAAGGTTATCTCCTCCCTCGCTCTGGCAAGTTCTGCAGATACAAAGAAGGGGAAAAAGGGTAAAAGCGAAGATTTTGTTCCGTACCGTGATTCAGTAAATTCTACCGTCCTTTTTTGTTTTGCAGCCAACTTACACACATGCATTAAGGTATTAACCTGGCTGCTGAAAGATAGTCTTGGAGGGAACTCAAAAACGGCAATGATCGCTGCCATAGCTCCCGCTGACTATGAAGAGACGTTAAGTACCCTTCGGTATGCTGACCAAGCAAAGAAGATCAAGAATAAAGCAGTGGTTAATGAGGATCCAAACGCGAAGCTTGTGCGTGAGTTGAAGGAGGAATTGGAAATGCTAAGAGGTTTGTTGGATATTTCAATTTGTTGTTGCCTGATTTAAGCCTGGTGTTTTACTTAGCTCGAGTTTCTGGCTCCAGTGCCGAAGACACATTTGACCCTAAGGTACCTCCGGAGAAGCAAAAAGTGACCTACCAAACCAAAGACGGTCGAATCAAAACTGTAACGAAGGCTGAGCTCCAGGAACAGATGGAGACCAGTGAGAAGCTGATGCAGAGTTTGAACGAGACTTGGGAACAGAAGATGGTCAGGACACAAGAGGTACAGAAAGAACGTGAGAAGGCGTTGGAGGAATTAGGAATCTCGGTTGAGAAAAACATGGTCGGTGTCCATACACCAAAGAAGGTGTGTTCCTGATGATATGTTGAATCCTTATCACTTGCTGAATCCCTCGACTTATCGTCAGATTCCTCATCTAGTCAATCTGGTACGGTACTTTCCTTGCGTCAATGAACCAGCAGCTGATCGAAATGTCCGAATCTTAAGAATGAAGGTGTGTATAGCTCAAAGTGAAATGTGCCTTTTGATTAAATGCGTCATCCGCAGATCCCCTCATGAGCGAATGCCTGATATACCAGTTGAAGCCGGGGAAGACAGTAGTACGTGTAACTCTCATGTCAACTTACCTCCTCATTGAGGATGTTTTGCGGTAGGTTGGCCGATTGGACAGCGATAAGCCCGCTGCTATTCGACTTAGTGGTGACAACATCTTGGAGGAACATTGTTATTTCGAAAATACTGACGGCAAAGTTTTTATACATTGCCTACCAGAGAGCGTTACGGTACGTCCTGGCTCTCATTTGTCCCTCAATTCCCCTTTTGACACGGGCCTCCGATAGTTTCTAAATGGCAAACGCATGGCACCTGGCCAGGTACTATATAGTCAATATAGTTTTTGAGTGCCTACTGATTCTTTAAACTTGTAGTCCCACAAATTGCGCACAGGGTTTCGTATCATACTTGGTGTGTGGGTTGTTGTTTTGATATGATTCGTTCTGCTTATTCGTCATTCTTATCAGGCGACAATCATGTTTTTAGATTCAACAATCCTGAGGAAATCCGGAAGCAGCGCGATCGAGCGACCATGAAATCCAATCTTCAACTCAGTGTCTCGGCAGGAGATCTTGTCGCAGCTACGGAGAGCTCCCCTGCCACTCGACCAGAATCTCCGGCATCCTCGATAGAAGCAGATGATGTTGACTGGACTTTTGCTCAGAGAGAAGCTGCATTTGCTCGGCTTGGGTTGGACCCCACACTTGACAGTTTGCCTGATGACGATTTAAACAGGCTGTTCGAAAAAGTTACCAAGGCCAAAACTTTTCGCGAGCATCACCTAAAATCCCGACCAGAAAGCAGTCTTAGTCAGGCGGATGATGTCTGGAGTGAGACCGGGCGTCCGGTCCCCAGCGAAGCAGCTACGGATGACACCAGTCTAGAGGCGCCCACGAGCCACTACAGTCCTGAGACTGGCAATGGTGCCCTCAAAGATGTTCAGGATCAGTTGGAGAGCCGTCTCGAAGCCATTACCACAGAGGGGTCAAAGGAGGCCGAAGACCTCAAACTCGAGAAGGAGCATATGGAATATCAGCTTCGATTGGTGAGGACGCAAATGAAGCGTATGATTGAGGCGCGGTCGAGAGGAGAGACGGAATTGGAACAATTGGATTTTGAGCCTGTGATTTACAGCGCTAAACAGCTCCGGCTCATAAGAAAGGTTCTAGATAAATGGAGGGCTCATCGTTCATTTTCCATGGCTGAGGTAGTTCTCTCCAAAGCTGTTTTGATAAAGGAAGCCAATGTCATCAGGTATGCTGGGTCTCCTTCCATTGATCATACATAGATTCTGAACATCTTCAGCAAGGAATTGGGCAAACAGGTCTCGTACAATTTTACGGTCTCTTCTGGAGGTCCTCTGGCCGCTCCCGCCTCTTCTGTGGACACAATAGCTGGATTGGACCAATTCGGAGACGTCTCAGACCCTATTCTCAGGTCTGCTACTCAACCGTCAGTTGCAATCAAAGTGCTAGATGGACGGCACAACGCTATCTATATATGGTCTCTTGACCGGATGCAACAACACCTTCAACGTATGCGAAATATAACAGCTTATATCGACCGTCCGTCCTTTACGCAACATTTCTCATCAGATGAGCCTTTCTACGACTCACCACCTCCTCAGTACTCCTTTATCGGTAGTGCTTTGATTTCATTGGCCCCTATATCCCGTTCGTTATCTTGCACATATACAGTACCAATTTTCTGCAGGTCCACCGCAGAAGCGATAGGGTCTTGTCGCGTCGATATAAAGTTGGTCAACGTTGCCTTTCCTTCTAAGCATGCAAGCGGGCAACCAAGTGGATCAACTTCACAAGGTTCAGGTATCATTCCGACTGGGAGCAAGTTGTCCTTCTTCTTCACAGTCGATACAGTCAAAGGATTATCACTTCATGATTTCTCCGCCGTCCATCTTCAAGTCCGACTATCGTCGTTCGTTGGACCCACTCTTTCAGCAGAGGAGGTCTTCCCTTCGACGGCCGTAGACCTAGAATCATCCTCCCTGTCAGAATTAAGGTTTCGCCGAAGCTTTTCTATTGTCGCATCTCCCAAGGTTCTCAATCATCTACGGCAAGGTTATGCTCCTATAGAATTCTTTGCCGCAGTCACACCGACATATTTAGAACGTATGGAACGCTGGGATGAAATGCGGGAACAAAAAGTTTACTTTCCTGGATCTCAAGAGTCGAGATTATCGTCGCCTGACAGTCAATCTACGAATACGCCACCTATGCGCCGCTCCGAAACAGATTTTGTCGTGGAGCAGAGTCACGATGTCATTGTTTGGATCCAATTGTGTGAATTAGCACCAGATGGTCAGTATGCTCCCGTGCCCGTACTTTCGCAGGGTACACTTGATCCAGGTAGTTTCTCTTTGCACCAAGGATTGCAAAGGCGAATCGTAATCTCGCTATCATCGAATTCTGGCCAGCAGTTTCCATGGTCTGAATTTACCAAAGTGCGAATTGGAAATGTCCGGGTAATAGATGCTAAAGGTCGAGTTCAAGAATCATCATCGAAAGCCCTGATCACGCTTCCTCTGTTACAAGAACAAAATATCGAGTTCAAACCAGACGGAACGGGGAGTCTGTCTGGTCAGGCTCTGTGGGATTCAAGTGTCCACAATTCTTCGCTCCTAAATAAAGTGACTCCTATGAACCAGCGTGTATTGCTTCAACTTAGTTGTGCTGTTTCTGTTGAAACTTGTGCCGATCCTGTGCAGTTCAATGTGGACGTGGCTATCACCATCGGTACTCGAGATGCTCGACCCCCGTCGAGACTCCTCACGTTCTTTGGTTCAAAAAAGATCCTGTCAAAATCGAGCCACCTTTTTCGAGTTCGATTATCTCCACCCCTCACTCGTTCTGTCAAAGAATTATGGCGATTAGATACAGCTGAAAAATATGTTCGGGGTGAAGAATCTCTAGGAGCTTGGAGGCCCCGTGGAATATCCGTAGTGGAAGATTATTTGCGATTGATAATGATGGAGGAAAAAGCTGCGGACGTTCAAGCTACTCGAGCCATTTTGACGACGAGTCGTCCGCTGGTGACACAGCCTGACGCTCTTGCTTGGCGCGCAGACGATCTCGTTCGGAAAGCCCTCGAACTCTGGCAACGTCGATATTATGGCAATGTGTGTGTATTTTACCAGCATTAAACTTGTAACTAATCCCTTGGATAGCATATACTGAACCAACAATCGAACGCGGAAGCAGAGTCTGTTTCCGCGAAACACAGTATTGATACAGAGTCTTTCAACGAACTTAAATTCATATCCGAAACAAAGATGATACCACGCAGGTTATTACAGGCGTTACCTATGTGTTGCAATTCTAACATATTTTCTTCAGTGACAGCGCGACCAAGAAAGGTTATCTTTTCATACTTACCGACGCCAGTCAAAACGTGTTCGAGAAGCGATGGTTTGTTCTTAAAAGGTGCTTTTTGTCTGAATTTCTATGCGTTATTCTCATAACGAAACTACTCAGACCCTACCTTCATATGTATTCTCAATCCAATGAGGTTGACGAAATTGGTATCATAGCTCTCTCAGCTGTCCACGTGGAAAATGACCCTCACAAGGAGCTTTTACTCGGGGTGAGTTTTTTTTCTGCGCGTGGAAGGATCAGGGCTTATTCAAATCACCGTAGAAACCATTCACATTCACTCTTTTCACCTCTTCCAATTCGCATGCTCTCGCAGCTCCGAATCTCAAGGAGAAACATTCTTGGGTCGCCAAACTTGATCCCACTCATTTATCGTCTTGATGCACTTTTCACACTGAAGCTTTTGATCATGTTTTCTTCTACGGCATGTATAGATCGTAATTTACTTCAACTATCATGCATTTGCTATCGCCCCTTCATCGGTTTATGAGCATCGTATACCATATCACATATATCTAAGTATACCAAAGTACTTGTACGATAGTTATTACTCGAATGAGTCGGATCCATGATTATCAACTGATTTAAATATGTTGGTCACAAAAATGCTCTTTAGATAATTTGAGGTATAGATATGTTTAAGGATTACACATACTTGCCTGACTTGGCACCAAGCCTCCTCAGAATAAGGATAAACTTTTGCGGTACCCCACATGCTGTTCCTCATGGAGTCAGCGACGGTCCATATGACCCCTGTCCGTTCGAAACGAGATCAACTCCAGTATAGAATGTACATTGGTATACAGGATCCATGTGTTTTACAATAATCAGCGTCATAATCGACACTGCAGTCTAAAAATTCTAGAAAGGCCGAACGGATGAACGTAAAGAGATAGATGCAAAGGACAGTAAGTAGTGGCATAGGAATGTTATATGTACTGGTGAAGAGGATCCTAAAGGTCATGAATAATGATAGACAAATTATTGAGGTATCGAGATCGAGTCCGTTAATGTTCTCGTTTTGGGATGCTTAATCACAGAGTTCTGGACAGTCGTTCTACACGGACAGGTTAATGGTCATATTTATGTTTGGATAAGAGTATACTGACTTGACGAATGAAGGTAAGCATGTGGCAAGTGATGTATCCCTTCGCAAATCCAGCGCCGGCATAGACAAACAGATATTGCCATTTTTTCCTGAATGCGTCGTAATTTGCACGTTCTCTGAGTGCCGGGTAATCTTGCGCGATCATTTCTTGGCTCAGATTCTTCTCTAATCTTCGCCCCCATTCACGCAAGGTTCGAGGATAGTCTAGATAGACAAAATCAATTTTGGTCAATGCCATACACATCTCTGGAAGTAAACTTACGAGCAGCATGGTTTTCCACACACTCCAGAGTAAATCTACCATGGGAAGCAACCTGGGCTGCTGTTATTAGAGCAGTAGCGCTAGGAAGACAAGAATTTGGCCACATATAACGGCGCATAAAATCCTCAGACCTAATTCAGGTGTAAATTGCTGCTTGAAAATCGGGTGGTGAGATGGAACCTACTGATAACCGGTGTATCGAGACTCAGGGAATGTCGATGCACTTACAACTGCCGTGGCATCGCGAGATTTGAGGGCAAAATCGACGAGTTTGAAATATGTCTGGTAGTGCTTAGCGCCTACATGCTATCAGAGTCATGAGATTAGAATATACTGATGAAAGTTTGATTATATTTACCTCTAACATCTCAATGCTCACGAACGCGTCGAAAGCGTTTTCGAACTCCGGAGGAATCTCGCGGTAATCCATAAGATGGACCCGTATCTTGTTTTCAAGACCCGCGGCTCTGATACGTTCCTCAGCCAGGGTCTTTTGTTCGACTGATAACGTTAATGTGTCTACTTCACAACCAAACGTTCTGACAGCCTGCGCAAGGTCAGTGAGAATGCAGGAACTCGTATTTCCAAAGGACATACTTCGATAGCAAGACCACCCCAACCGCTGCCAAATTCAAGGACACGGTGACCAGGTTTAACGCGAGCTTTACGAAGAACATGATGAATCTTTCGACGTTGAGCAGCCTCAAGATCTCCAGGCGTTGATCCCATTTCAAGGTCCCCTCGAACTCCACCTTCCGCATCGTCCCATAACGCGCATGAGTACATCATTTCGTGGCTGAGAAAAGCCTATTAGGAAATTTATTCGTCAACATTGACTCTGAGATATATAATCCAATCCCACCTTGAATAGTGTATTGGATTGATCATAGCTTGCGATGGCATTGAGACGCGCTTGATTTTTGGTTTGCCCGAAAAAGCTATTGTACAGTCCAGAAGCGGCCGATGAGATCCGAGCGAAAGACGATGACAATGTCTCCTCCATTCCGGTCTGGTTATCGAGCCATAGCTATATATATAAGAAATATATCAGTTGAAGGATAGATGAAAATATTAAGTTTGACGAACATCCATGCAACTTTTCAGGTCTTCCACTTCTATGTCCCCAACCATATATGCTTCGCTAACTGGGTCCGGATTAGAGGGAGAAACTCGTATCCAATTTAATCGTCTTACAGCCCAGATCTCCTGAACTGTGCACATAAGCCATTAGTTATTACTCACAAGGAGCGAAATGACAACGAGCACGTACAACATCAAACGTAACCAAAAGGCATCATTGATGACTGCTAGTTGAACAGTGTTGCTTCCCTTGCGATAACGGCCATAGGTACGTGATCCCTCAGAGTCGGTAATGGTTAGTTGTCCTACAGATATTGCATCGCTGAGGACTGAAAGTATGGACGTTCGTGCTATAAAGGTGTCGGTAATAGTTCAAAAAACTCGCGTGGGGGGCACGTACCAAACCTTGCAAGCCACGATCGAGGATTTGAGAGAGCCAATGCGAATATCGAAGCAGGCTGGACAGACTTGGAAAAGCCAGGCGTAAAACGTACACAGGGCTGATTAGTGATTGTTGTAGCAGGCATGGCTCCGGCTTTAAAAAAAGAATCCACAACGAGAAGGGGGAATACTAATCGGGGAAAGGGAAAATGGGGGCACCTTTATACCTTTCGGGTGAAGTGGATTAGGGAGTACTCAGAATCGAAGACGTGTAACCGGCGGACATTTTTGATCAAGCTTGATCAGGGTCATTCGCTTTGGGAATCTCGTAATTAGAATGCAGTTGGCCCAAGTCTGCGTTTGAGCAGCGTTGAGAAGTCAAACCGTCGATGAAGTTTTGAGATCTCTGTGCAAGTTAGGCACTACAGAAGAACCACGTGCAAATGCTCAAAATCCCCAGATTCCAATCAGAATTTCCTTTACGGAACTAATGTTCTTCCCCTTGAACCTTGGGATTCATGAAATCCCAGATGACCCGTGAATCTTTTTTATGATCTGCGAGACGGTGCACGGATGATTCGTTAACTATGAGAGAGAAGATTGGCTCATAATCGTTGTTTCTCATTTACTGTTCACTTCCACTTAAGAATTCACTCTGCGGAGCAATTCGAATGGGATATCCTCCGTTGATGCACTTCCGCCAACCTAGATTTCTTGAAAAGTATAAGGAGGCTCTAAAGAAACGATTGTCTCTTCAGCAATTAGTCTAGATTCTGAACGCTCCGAAAGGTTTCGGTTTACTTTCCTTTCCTCAAATGAAACTGTACCCGTGTATGGTTTTACGTTCAGTTGACAGAACATTGTATTATTTGCTGCCACTAACGAGTGACTATTGCTTAGACAAACCTGTTTTTGATAACTGGAACACGTTGAACTTCAAGCAAGACCTAGTAAGACTTGAATATCAGAATTAAGTAACTCGTCATCAACGCCTTTCCACAGTCGTTCCAATTACACGAAACTCAATGAGGTGAAAATTTCCATTTGGATTTCCATTCACTGCCAACTGTCGTATTTTTCCATAGATGGTCACTCGTTTGAACATTTATCCATCCAAGATAGGTTGCATAATAATTCAGAAACTGAGACGAGGAATGTGACTGTGAGGAATATCAGAAAGAAAGAAAGACACTTCTCTGGCACTTACACGGCGGTGAGAGGAGCGGGAACTAGTTCAAACAATGGAGCAATTACAAAGTGTAGAGTCCACCTATACCAACATGTGAAGAAGTGAAGAGCGTGGAGACGGGAAGATTTTGTTTTCAAGTAGGTGCATGTGGAACGGCAATGGTCATCCAATGTGGAAATAACATATGGCCAGTTTCCAACAATTCCAACACCTCCTACAAACCCTACGAATGACGAATATTATGATACAGCGGATCGTTCGGAGAGGATCGGAAATCATTTTAATACGAGAGAATTTCTTTTGAATGATCCGTAGTCAAACTCGGTGAAAGAGGATGTTTTGTAGTGAAAGACAGTCGCCTGAAACAAAATTAAACAGATAAAAATCAAACTATAAAGATTGAAGATTAAAAACAATTGTGCGCGCGGGAAGGAAATTTACCAGGGGGCAACAGTTATGAAAACGATTGTGGCAAAAGGAAAATGAAGAGCTACGGAAGAAAAGCAAGAAGTGAGTATAGACTTTCTGAAGGATATAGAAAGGATATAGACTTGAACGCCGGCCAAGCATAGAAGGTGAGGATCATTCGAACAGCATGTAAATCGTCAGTCTGGATTTTGAACGATTACACCGTGGGAAGTCAGACCCTTGAAAGTTGAACGAACCTCAAGGCCTCAAGCTCAAGTCCTGAGTCAAGCAATCAATGCACCATTCGCATTCATTTGCACCAGCATTCTTCAAAGAGCTGTCGACGAGTAATACAAACGTTTCGCAACGTCGTCTACCACCCAATTGAGGCCATCGACCAGATTTTCTCCTGTGACAGCACTACACGAAAGAATCTTCCAGTGGTGCGATTTAATCGAGCTGAGGTCGAGTGCCTAGGACACAAAGAGTCTGCATAGGAGGGAAATAACTCGGACCCTAAAGTTGGGAACTTACGTCTCGTATTTGGGAGTCATTCATGGAACCTTGAAGATCCCATTTATTTGCGAAAACGAGAAGAGACGCACCGGCTAAGCGCTGCAGAGACAAAGATAAAACGTCATGGGAGCCAAATAGGTGCGGACCATAGGGGGGACCCACGTCTTCGAGGAGAAGGCTATTTAGCTCATCCCTACAATCACTCATTCGCATTCGGTCCCCAGAGTCGACCACCCAGACTAGGGCATCCGTTTGTTCAAAGTAATTACGCCAATATGGTCGTAGGGTCCGCTGACCTCCAACATCCCCTGAGATGAGGATATAACGAGGTCTTTGTCAGTAATTCTAGTCGTGCAACGCACAAATATTGAGCGTGTATCTAGTCAAGATTAATTTGAGATAGATCCGTTGAGTTTATAGAAGATGACACTCACTTGCCATGTACGAAGGTTTTGATATTGAAACCCAAGGTTGGACTTGTATTCATGATGTCTTCGCCGTTTAGCTTTTTCAATATCGTTGTTTTTCCAGCATTATCAAGTCCACTAGAAGGCATGAGAAGGTGAGAGGAAGTTCAGATCATGAGCTTACAGAAAAAGGATTCGCATTTCCTTCTCCTTCATCCGATTCTTCCTGATTATTGTAAGGAGTCCCATCGAACAGAAAGTTTCACGGAGAGAAGAGTCAATTTGGTACAAAGCAGTGCCGGCTGTGTGCCGGATTGCCTTCCAATCAGCTTCCATTAGTATTACTATTACACTGTGACTTTTAGGCGAGACGATGGCTCCCAAGAACAAAGGGAAAAAAGCTAAGAAGGCCAACGACGACGAGTTTTGGCAAGTAGCCGAACATATCGTATACTGATCTTCTTGAACGGATTTCATCTAGGGATAATGCTGGAGAATCTGTGGCCAACAACAACGTTGAGCAACCATCGAACAACGACCGACCCGTTGGATTGGGATCTGGGTTCTCCGCATTTGCTGCCCTCCAGACAGAGGACGTAGGTGAAATCGAGGAGGACGAGGATTTCGGGGGATTGATGGTATTACAACTTGTATCATGTTCAATCAGCCTCTGACATATAGCTCTCTAAAGTCTGCAATCAAAGCAAGCTCTAACAAGCCGAGAAAGGACAAGAAAATAACTAAGAAGGACTACGTATCTGCGGAACCCTCTGATAACGAAGCAACATCCAAACAAGCGACCGTCGTGACAGCGGATGACTTCGTCGATGATGAATGGGGACCTCTGAAAGACAAGGGTAAGAAGATCAAGAAAGGGAAGAGCAATCAGCATAAGGCAGTAGAGGAAAACATCGAAGACGTGGAAACTAAGCCAGGTGGGTCCCATCAGGATTGAATCATGAATTTATAAATTTGAACTTAGGTATAACTGTTTACAGAACCGGAACCTTCAGAGTCAATTGCGGAACCCCATGATGAAGGCGTGGTGGACGAAATTCCCGGTGAAAGTTTAGGCGAGGTCAAGATTTTGTCAAAGAAGGAAAAGGAAAAGTTGAAGAAAGAACGGGAAAAGGCTGGTATCTATTATAGAGAACTTCTGGATGAACTAACATCTTATAGGCGAAGAAAAAAGCACAAGCAGCTAAGAAGGTCAATGTTACAGAGGCCGCTCTGCCAGATACTCAAGAACCGTTGTTACCTTCTGAACCAATACCGGAAGAAAACGATAGAGAGGTGGACGAAGGTGGAAAAGCTGACTCGAAGAACAAGAAGAAAAAGAAAAAGACGAAGAAAGATGAAGAACCGCCTCCTCCCCCTCCCCCAACGACGAAGAAGAAGGGCGGTATCAGTGCACTCAAGGCAATGATGGAAGAAAAGAAAAGGTTAGAAGAGGAAGCCAGGCGGGCAGAGGAGGAGGAGCGGAGACGCATCGAAGAGGAAGAACGAAAAGCGGAGGAGGAGGCGAAACGGAAGGAAGAGGAAAAACAGAGAAAGAAAGAGAAAGAGAAAGTAAGTCAGCAAGCACTGACAAAACATCCAGCATCCTGAAGTCATGTCTATCTGTTCAGGCGAAACGGGAACTTGCTAAGAAGGAAGGTCGTTTGCTTACCAAAAAACAAAAGGAAGAAAAGGCAGCGGCAGAGATCAGAAAACAAGCACTTTTGGCCTCTGGTGTTCAGATCGAAGGTCTGCAACAATCAACAAATATGCCAACGAAGAAAGTTGTCTATAGCAATCGTAAAAAGAAGGGTCCCACTGCGAACGGCGCGTCTCCTGCTTCTTCAAGGCCAAGAACGCCTGAGTCTCCGGTCGTTCAAGAAGAGAAAGAGGATTCAGTTCTTAACCTTGCCGATGGATCTCTGGCTCCTGCCAATACACTGGAAGAAGCGGAAGAGGCATCTGCGAAAGATGATTGGGACGCTAGTAGCGACGAAGAGACGAAACCGGCTTCGGATGGTAAAAAAGATTCCTGGGATGCCTCCAGTGATGGTGGGGCGGAGCTAAAGCCAACCCCGTCTTACTCATCGACAGGAAAATCTCCTTCGAAGTGTATGTTGGCAATACTTAAACTGTGGGAGATGCGATTCTGATTGACACTGTTAGCTACACCCAACGATCCAAGACAACTTGACGCTAAAGTTGCACCAGTTGCCTCTAATGCAAAACCTCCAAGAAATGCGGTTCCTGTATCTAAGGCTGCGAATTCGAAAACGAAAGCTTCAGATGACGAGGATTCAGCTGAGGATTCGGATTCGGATGCATCGTCAGAAGAGGATTCTTCGGAAGAGGACTCGGATTCGGACGAAGAGAGTTCCGAAGATGAACTCTCTACGGCACAAAAATTGGCAGCTCAAAGAAAGGTGGAGGCAGCGGCTCGACGTGCAAAGGCCCACGAAGCTGCACTCGCTGCCCGGAGTAAAGACGATCTTCGAAGCCCTATTTGCTGTATACTGGGTCACGTCGACACCGGAAAGACCAAACTCCTTGATAAAGTGGGTGGCACGTATTACCATGTATCGCACACTTACTCGTGTTTAGATTCGGCAAACTAACGTTCAAGAAGGTGAAGCAGGTGGTATCACACAACAGATTGGGGCAACCTATTTCCCTGTTGATGCAATTATGACGAAAACTGCTGTTATGAACAGGGTGGGCCTGTTCAATCTTATATAGAGTGGAACGTTCTAATGTCATCATACCAGGATGGCGGGCAGGAGTACAAAATTCCTGGATTGCTGGTCATCGACACACCTGGACACGAATCTTTCACGAACTTACGTTCACGTGGTAGTTCTCTCTGTAACATCGCTATCTTAGTGGTTGACATAATGGTGAGGTGTCTCATTTATAACCATGGATTATTCTCATCTTCCCCAAGCATGGGCTCGAAGCTCAGACCCTCGAGTCATTAAGACTCCTGCGTGACCGCAAAACCCCATTCATTGTCGCTTTAAACAAGGTTAGCATCGTCGGACTGCGATCTTCCGTCCCATCTAGTTTAATCTTTTGCAAACTTTGAAAGATCGATCGTCTATATGGATGGCAACCTACACCAGATGGCGCTTTCCGGGAGTCGCTCGCGAAGCAAACCAGGGCCGTTCAACGAGAGTTTGAGGATCGTGTTGCTAAAACCACTGTGGCATTCGCCGAAGAGGGCCTTAACGCGGTTCTCTATTACGACAATAAGAACTTTGCTCGGAATGTTTCCCTTGTCCCGACCTCTGCCATCACAGGAGAGGGGGTGCCCGACATGATTATGCTCCTTGTCAATCTCACGCAGCAAAGGATGAGTGACCGGTTGATGTATTTGTCGGAACTTGAATGCACTGTACTTGAAGTCAAGGTTATCGAAGGCCTTGGTACCACTATCGATGTTGTCCTTTCAAACGGTATCCTGCGCGAAGGTGACAAGATTGTGGTCTGTGGTCTTAATGGACCAATTGTTACTCAAGTCAGAGCTTTGCTCACCCCTCAACCCTTGCGCGAACTGCGAATCAAGGTTTGTATCCTTACTCTCATCTCTTTACGCACTCTCATCTTTCACAGTCAGCATATGTTCACCACAAAGAAGTCAAAGCTGCATTGGGTGTCAAAATTACGGCTCCCGATCTCGAGAAAGCTATTGCTGGATCCCGCCTCCTTGTTTGTGGGCCTGACGACGACGAGGATGATTTGAAGGAAGAAGTCATGTCTGATCTAGCTACTCTACTCAACAATATTGATAAATCTGGTCGTGGCGTTTGCGTACAAGCTTCCACCCTTGGTTCACTGGAGGCCCTTCTAGACTTTTTGAAGTCGAGCAAGATTCCAGTCTCTGGTATCAACATTGGCCCCGTACATAAGAAGGATGTAATGCGTTCTGCCACCATGTTGGAAAAGGCGAGAGAACTGGCATGCATTCTCTGCTTTGATGTTCCAGTAGATAAGGACGCAGAGCGTATGGCAGAAGAAATGGGAATCCGGCTTTTTAAAGGTAATAAGTGGCTGCTCTTTCCACTAGTAGCTTGTTGACTGTTGTTTAGCGGATATTATTTACCATCTATTCGATAAGTTCACGGCTTATAACCAGGAGATCACAGAGGCAAAACGCAGGGACGCAGCACCTCAAGCGATCTGGCCTTGTCGACTAAAAATTATCGCTGCCTTTTGTAAACGAGATCCCATCATTTTGGGAGTGGATATATTGGACGGAACACTGAGAGTAGGCACTCCTATCGCTGTCGTCAAGGTGGATCCGACGACACAGAAGAAAGAAATCATAGATCTGGGTAAAGTGTATGTGCCAATCATTGTTCTTCTGTGTTCTTTCTCCTCTCAAAATCGCGTAGGACATCCCTCGAAATCAATCACAAATCGATGGATGTGAGTGAATTTCGTCCCGTTTCTCTTTTTTTCTTGGTTTTGAACATTTCTATAGATTGTCAAAAAGTCACAAGCCGGAGGTGGTGTCGCTGTCAAGATTGAGCATGCTGTGTACCAGTCGGCCAAGATGTTCGGACGACATTTTGATGACAAGGATGAACTTTTGAGTCATATCACCAGACAGAGTATTGATGTATTGAAGGTGCTTTTTCAGACTTATTCTTGAACTTGTTACTTATGCATTGCAGTCATCATTTAGAACGGACGTGTCTAATGAAGAATGGTTGCTCATCAAGGCGTTGAAGCCGGTCAGTTTGAGCGCCCATGGTAAAAGATCTTCAACTAATGCGGATTTCAGCGCTTCAACATCGATTGAACGTGGTATATCACCAAAAATTCCAATCACCCTTTCATAATTTGTTCGACTCGAATGTTGCTGAACTTAAAAGGACAGAGAAGGGAGCTGTCGATGCTGAAATACAACCGGTAAAATTACACCTTGCAATACTAATTACTGTATTCGGTATAACGTTTGCTTTGGTGATCGACTGGAAATCGCTGTGGGTTGAGATCATAACACTCAAATTCCATCAATGCTGAGATTTGCGAGTAGAGAAAGCTCGGCGTCAATGTCACTTACAGAGGCTAATGCAAGAGAGGATGCTTATGATAATTCTTTCGACATTTTCGATGCAGATTTGAGCTTTGTACTTCATTAGACCTTGCAAGCAAGGTGATTCTGCTTATTATTGCAGCGAAGATGTCGGTACCCTGAGCCCTCCCTCGTCAACTTATCTCTTACATAGAACATCAATATGGACGACTAGTGTACCCCTGCGGGGCCCTAAAAACCTTGCTCCCCGATTTTTAATCAACTGAGTCACTGTAACTATATAACACTGTTCAATAGTACATTACACAGTAGTTTTCAAACAAAGCAACTGGAGCATACAATCGCGAACATTTCGAAGCCAGTCGTCCATATCTTTCTTTAAGAACAAAGAGAGGACCTGCAAAGAAGCAATTAACCCCCTTTTCGTACAAGGTGTAGTGAGAAAGTAAGTGACAAACGGTAGAAGTGATCAAACCCCCCTTCGACGAGGTGTAGTCAAAAAGGAAGTGACAGCCCGCAAACGGTCAGCGACTTGGAAAGACAGGTTCAAAGAAACAACGTGGAAAAAATTTTGCGCGCGCGCCTAATGTTACATAATTACAGGGTGTGGAAGGAGGAAGGACCTAGCAAAGCAAGGTGATTGTAGTAACAGTGGTTTTCTGTGGTATTTCCACTGGTTACCCAAAGAATGCTCTATGTTTTTGATCCCTTAATCCTGCTCACAAAATCTACAGAGTGCATGCAGTTCGACAGTGCAGTGCTCCCACTATGTATCGTGTATTGTAACTCTTTGGTTCACAACGACTTCCATCGTAAAATCTTACCTCGCACACAGGCTTGTCATCTCTGATACTGTTTTTCTCAGTCGGCGCTTTAGAGCTAAAGAAGAATGGTTGGGTCGAGAGCCAGTATTGAAGGGACACTACTGAAGAGAAATGTTCAGTTTTCGAACATTGTATAGAACATCAGTGTGCATAGCCATATTGCGCTATGAACAACAGCGGTTCTCTGTAAGAAGCAATAACTCGGATTCAAGTGCATAGTGGGAAGGGAAGCAGGTGGAGCAGTAGAGTTGGTAACAGGAACACTAATCTTTGCTCTTTTCGTGCTTTCTTTTCTTCTCCTTACTCTTTTTGTCGACCTCTTTGACCTGAGATGTCTTTGTGAGCAATAGAGGTACATCACACATACCCAGTAGGACTCACCTGTTCATTGACCTCAGCTTTTGCCTTAGCCTTTTTCTCCTTCTTTAAAGCCTTCTTTTCATCCTTCGACAGTTTGACTTTTTTCACCACGACTTCCTCATCACTTCCATCGTCGTCCCTGTCCACATCTATGGCATCCAATTTACGCTTCTTCTTGGACTCCTTTTCCTTCTTCGATTTCTTTTTCGGTGAGGCTTCCAGCGTGGTAAGAGCAGGTTCAGCATTATCCATATCGACGTCGGCATCATCCTCTAGGGATAGATCTTCCAGCACTTTTCGCATAGCATCGGCATTTTTGGAAGGGGGTGCGCCCGTTTCAAAAAAGTTGAGGCGTTCTTCGACTTGAGCCCGTAACGCTTCCCCGAATTTGGCAGACGGGTTTTCTGGATAAGGCAGGGAGAGGTTGATAGAGACTCTGAACAATATATACACAGAGGGAGGTTATAGTTTTGACCCACCAGAATAGCAGTCGATTCTACTTGCAATTGAACACTTGTTGGCGAGAAAACGTGAGATTCTTCCTTTATGTTTAGGTTGAGCCCGGCCAATGAAGGTTGAATGGTATAGCAAACCATACTGTTCGTTGAAAATGAAATATTAGCCAAGTCAACTCTAGCGAGAGAAAGAGGGAAGCCCATTCTCGCTCACTCACCTTCGGGGTATTCCCTTTTGTTTTCAGTGCCCTAAACAACGCCTTCTCTGCTCCAAGAATCTGCACAGTACTTGCGGGGTACTTGCTGAGATTTGTCAAGCTTCCTGCGTGGCTGATGAGTCTTGCACCAACTCGTTCGCCTAATAAGGCTGTCAAACTTGGGGCTACGTCGTTCATCTTAGTAGCCAAATATGCTACCAATGATCTCCTATACTGGGATAGTGAGACAACTCGCTGCGCAAACGCAGAGATATTGAGCATGTCAACCGGAGAAAGCGAAGAACCCATTGAATTTCGGGCTGCTGAGAGGATGTTCGAAGCTGTTGTCGACGTCGATTCTAAACCAGTTATGGTTTCTCCGGATGATTTCGCGGCAGACTGGGCCTCTTCAAGAAGTTCCTCGAGGCCAGAAAGCTTGTCTTCGGTGAAAGTGTCTTTGTCCCCTAGGAAGAATATGACGCGCGCGTAGGTGTAGTTGTCTGGAACAAGTTTGACCAACTCGGGGAAGTGATAACCATACCATTCACGGACGCGCATAGAAAAAAGGTTGACGTCCTTGTCCAACTGATCTAGGAGGGCAATGGCTTGGATAATCATGTTATCCATACGATTGACGTTGAACTTCAGTTTGGATCTCGAGTAAGAATGTCCTAAACCAAGCTGTGCTTTGGTCAAATCGTCCTCACCAAGTGAAGAAAGCAGTTTTTGTGCATGGAGACGTATCCCGCGAATGATATCTTGGGCTTTTTCTGAAGCGTCGCACTGCACACCGGTGGCTTCACGAATATTCCCTGCAAGTGTGGATTCGGATACTGCGAGTGTTATCGGTGCCTTTTTGGAAGAGGATTTCGATAGGTTGAGTTCAATAAGAGATTTCAAGTGGTCGTGCACAAGTCCTGAGCTCTGAGTTAGGAAGCCAACCTAAAGGCGATAGATAAATGCACTAACCCTCGGAAACATCATTAATATTTTCTAGTGCATGTGCTGCACTTTTGAATGGAACAAAGCTTCTAAGCTCAACCATTTTTCCAAACTTCCCAAGATCTTTGATACTGTCTTGAGCGGCTTGCGAGTGAGAGACAATATCCTCGGTGAGCTTGACATCAAACAAGGCATAGCCCGAGGAGGACTCGAAGAGAGCGTGAGTTATAGACATTTCGCTCCACGACCGGTAGGAGAGCGACGAGTGTTGGAGGTCGTTGGCCGAGGTGAAAGTTTACGTAATCAAACTAAAAAAAAATTGCTACGGCTTCGAGCACTGAGAATCCTTAAGACTCGTTTTTCGTAGTTGAATCATATTTGCGAATTATACTTTCCGGTAGATTAGAACATCATCAATATGCTATGATATCTAGGTAAGTTTTTGCCAGTTTTCCTTTGATCTAAATTAGTCTCTTTTTGCTGCTGTGGACCGCAACAGCCATGCCAAATTTTCATAAACTACGAACGTCACACAAGTGCCCGGGAGTATGCGAACCAAATTTGTGGCAAGACCCCGGTAAAAGCCTTTGTAACCTTCCTGAGACCATGTTCGAGATATTGTACTACGAATAGTCGGGTAAAGTTGCGGATCATTCTAAGCAAATTATTTATGCGTCAAGCTTGAGGAGTGAACAAAGAGAATAATGCATTACCTGAATCCGTGATCTCACAACTTGATAAGGGTATGTCGCAGAAAGTGCCAGGAGTTTACTGGATGCAGACATCACAGTATAAGATGTGTTTGACTGGGAGAGAACAAATGTGAGTTTCGAAGGATATGTCAAGCCTGCACCTTACTAGTTTGTCAACCTGAGGATTCCAATCCCGCCCCTCTCTGAAAAATTGCTGGCGTTTCATGTCGAAGCCCCATTTCTTCATCTTCTCATATGCCATAAACTGAAGTGCGCCATTGCTAACTCCAACCAGAGCCAGCGACGTCCCTCGAAATAGGCCTTGCACGCCGTCAACCTTTACAATGTTTTTGAGTCCATCTATACTCGCGATAAAGATCAGCGGTAGTATTACGACATTGGAAACGAACGGAATAATCCCCGATACGCTTGTGGTGAACCTGGAGGCGAAGTGAACATTCGAACTTTGACAACCCATATGGGATTGGTCATGACCGCGGTAACAGCACCTGTCGAGAGATCAGTCAAGACAGTCACGCATAATTTCAAGATGGAGGTCGCGGACTTGCTTGGGCGGAACATAAAAGGATTTCTTGTGCGGACAACGTTTGCGTAATGTCACCTCCGGCCGCTCGTTTCTTGAGCATGTTATAACTACCAATGTTCGATTGAAAATGGAAAATAAGACAGTTTCCACACTCACAATAGAAAATATAGACCCCAACTCGACGCGTTACCCGCAACATTGGGACCCACCCCGCGATATAGACCTTTGAATCCGGATTCTCGATATATGTCCTTCAAACCATACCAGATTTGTTTTCCAATTCCTCCTGAATACGACGACGTGGCGACTTGAAACTTGACCTTGAGAAGATCCAGCGGATTCATACAGAGCGTAGAAACTACGCCAGCACCAAGTCCAGCAGCTGCATGGTCCTGTATTTGATTTCAATTTGAGCATACAAAAAAGTTCACGGATCAGTTCAAATCTCAACTATAGCAGTTGTTGGGAAAAAGCTTGCTGGTTGCTTGGGCATTCCAGCACAGGCCGGAGACGTCAAACAGAACTTGAAGCTGACTTTGAGTGTGATGACGCGAGTCCCAGTTCTAAATCGCGTGACCCGGGCCGTGTGCGCTCCGACAGTACTGACATATCCCAAGTACCAGAGACTCTTAACTTAAACAAATGCTCGTTCAAGGATGTTATCGGATTTGTCGGGTTTTCGGTACCTTAGCCTTGCCTGTGTTTTGAAGATCTTTGCAAATCCTGAGGCCGGAGTACTCCACTCGCTGTTGGGACCGATGCATATCCAGGGAAACCTGGAACCGACCGGATTCCTCTCCGCAAAGATCTCATGCAGGCTGCCTCAGTGAACGAGCAACGCATGAAGGTTTGAATCTTCTTCAGTGTAGATTCGTTACTCAAAAAGGTCTAGCTGGAATTTTCGATAACGCGGTTGGATGCGATAAAAGTATTCACATCAGATTCACGATGGTCTGTCAATGAAGAATGAATTAGCAAATTGTCAGTATTCGAGCTTGGCTTCAGCTGCATGCTGACCTTTCGGCATATATGAGGGTGCTGCATTGACCACAAGAATGGTCAATAAATCATTCTTGATTGACAATCTCAGAAGTTTGTGAACGCTGCTATAACCACCGCGAACATAGTCGGGTTAATCATGCTGCCATAGAATGCACAAATGGCGCATACACCCCGATAATCCTCCGTGCGACCTCTTGTTGACAACTAAGACCGTTTTCGCTGGGCGATGATACCACGCACAGCGGGTTTCTTTTCATCGTGCGAATGCTTCAATTGCGACTTGTATAATGGAAATAAAAGAGTGGGAAGTGCACTGAACCGTTCAATGACCGGTCAATGATATGCAACGACCGGGACTCCAACCCTCATCCGATATTTAACCCGCGTCTGTAGGTATCCGGGGAGGTGTTCGCATGCACATGCAGTGCCATTGGAAATATCAGAACGCACATATCGTACTCTATTGGAGTATGTAGGTCGGAATAGAGTCTATGTATACATTGACAAGGCGGGAGTCAGCGGGAAGAAAAATTATGACCCAGGCCCCAGGGAACATACGCGCACAAAGGGCGGCATAGTCAAGGTATGTAGAACGGCAAGGAGAAGGGAGGGATGGCCAGGCCCCGGCAGGGCCCAAAAATGAAAAGAAAAAAAACTCGGGTGAGATCAAGATTGCGGAGGGATTTGAGTTTACGAGTTTGTTTACGAGAGAAGTGTCGAGATCTGATCGTCTATCCTGCGATGCAATTGGCGGCTATTGACGGAAGGCCTGATTTTTCTGAGCATGGATGTCGAGATGGGCTAGAGTCTAGACCTGGAAGCGCGTCTGAATAAACGCCCGGCGCTACCTTGATGTTGAACCGAACTTTCTTCTTGTTCTGTGGGCTTGCGTCGTTTGCTCAAATCGCGACGGGTCTGCCGAAAGGTAGACCATTGGAGCCCTTGAATTCTCGCCAAACCGACCCAAATATTCCTACCCAGTGTCAATCGATATGTGACCCAATCGTCTCACTGATTGACACCGTGAGCTCAATTGCTGTTCGAATTTCACCAATCATAAGCTCAATGGACTCGATCTTCGCATTAGGGCTGTACCCCTCAGGAGTGCTGCACGAATGCTTTTGTAGGAAATTTGACAAATTGTTTTGAATGCGTTGGGAATATCACTCAAACCACAAATTACTCTCTTCCACAATCGGACATTGATGGTACGTTTTTGGTTCGTTTCGTGTCTACTATCGAGTATACAATGATAGTTTAAATGCAAGGACTCGTTGAAGAGTGTGCTTCGGAAGGACTCAACATCACAGATACCACTTTACCTGGGCAGAATCCCAATAGGACTCTGACAACACTGGCACCATCGTCTACGCATGTATCTTCCAGCTCTTCGTTCCATCAGAGCACAATCACCACAATAAGTCTCGCGACCCCGACGTTTACTCAGAACACGATTACTTCGCTCTCATCATTGTCGACGTCGTCCTCAGTTCCGACTTCATCTACTACCTTAGTGTCAGCTAGCACCAGTGGTGCGCCTACACGTTATGGGTTCTGTTGGACAGTAACAATTTGTTCTTTGTGTGTTACATGGGCGTTATCATTAGTTTTTTCAGCTTGATATTCTATGTACGGCGGTATTGTAAAATCAATTGGGTGATTTCAGCGGAGAAAATAACGAATGCATGTGAAATTACCCCAGTACAGTGACCGGTCCCGAACCGGTCGTCTTAACACAATGCTTTCTAAGACCCTCACCTTCGAGGAAGTAAAGAAGGTATTTGAGACCACATTCTTGACGGTTTGCATATATAACTCCCTTCTGATAGCATAACAAAGACGGCGACCTCGTAAGATTTAGAATTATTCATCGAATCATCATGACCAATCGCCAGTTTAACTCATATCCTATCCTATCCCTCTATATCATGCGTATAGTGGATAGTCATCGACTCCAAAGTTTTCGATCTTTCCAAGTTCGCGGATTTACACCCGGGAGGACCCAATGTCTTGTACGCTGAAGGTGTAGGTGAGGCACATATTCCCTGTATCTGTTTAAAGCAAACCTCATATCTAGCATAAGCTGGAAAGGACGCCACAGAAACATTCTTTGGACTACATCGACACGAGGTACTCTTGCGACCTCAATACGCTCGTCTACAAATTGGGGTAATTGAAGGAGAAGTGGAGAATGTCAAGGTCCCCACACCGGGTTCATTATCCAAAGTACCTTACGCAGAGCCTTCGTGGCTTTCGGAGGGATTCTTCAGTCCGTACTATTCGAATAACCACCGCACATTCCAGAAGGCTATTCGCAAATTTTTCGAAGAGGTTGTCCGTCCCGAAGCTGTCAAATGTGAAGAGAACGGGAAGAGAATATCGCAGGAGGTTGTGGATAAGATGAGGTACTCAGCCAAGAAGTCTATCAGTTCAAGTCTCATACTTTTTGCAGTGACTTGGAGATCATTGCTATGCGTCTGGGTCCTGGAAAACATCTGAGAGGTCGTACGCTCATGGATGGAACAGTCAAGCCAGAGGAATTTGATTATTTCCATGAAGTCAGGTTTCCTCATCTAGTCATAAATCCTGCCTTAACTCACACACACACATATATATATGTAGCTCATTCTCAACACAGAACTTGCTCGCTTCGGTACGCGTGGATTCGTTGACGGGATGCTAAACGGTGCTGTCATTGGTCTTCCGCCAATATGGAATTACGGTTCCAAAGAATTGCAGGCGAAAGTCGTTCCTGAAGTCCGTTTCAACTTACATTCCGTATCTAGGCTGTTTGACAGATGGTGTTCTGTTAGGTTCTGTCCGGCAAAAAATATCTTGCCCTTGCCATCTCAGAGGCGTTTGCTGGAAGTGACGTGAGTGGGCTTCAGACGACTGCAGTAAGGGATGGCGATCATTGGATTGTCACCGGGACCAAAAAGTACGTTAGTAGATGCTCCTCGTCGTTTCGAATACTCAATTTTCATCAGATGGATAACAAACGGAACCTTTGCAGATTATTTTACTACAGGATGCAAGACAGAGGTCAGTACTAACATGGTCAAAATACTCGAACTCACTTTGCAGCAGAAAGGTCTTACTGTGCTTTTGATTGAAAGAGGAGAAGGCGTATCAACCAAACCTATTAAGACGGCATATTCATCTACTGCTGGAACAGCATACGTAACTTTCGACAAGGTCCGTGTACCAGTGGGCAACACCTTGGGCGAAATAGGCAACGGTTTGTCAGTCATCTTGAGCAACTTCAATCACGAGCGATGGATGGTTACCGGGTGCAGCGTTGGAGCCCAGAGAGTCATTGTTGAGGAATGTTTGAAGTGAGTCTCAAAAAAATACAGATCTAGACTCAGCGATTGATCAAATTCGTAAAAAGATGGGCCAACCAGAGAATCGTTTTTGGAAAACCTCTGACCTCGCAAGCTGTAATTAGAAATAAACTTGGGAAGATGATAACGCGGATAGAGGCATGTCAGAATTGGCTCGAAATTGTCACACACCAGATGAATAATGTTCGTTCAATCCGTTGTTGCTTTTGTGTATTCTGATCATCTTTTATCTCATCTCATGGAAATCTCCAAAATGTTACTCATTCACACCAACAGATGACCTATAACGAAATGTCCAGTAAAATGGCTGGTCAGATAGGCTTGCTGAAGCAGTATGCCTCGTCCATGCGTATCCCCTGATCATGATGAAATTGACATCTTCTTGTTGCTTCTTTTGACAGATTCGTCTCTCGCTGCGGAAGGGAAACGGCTGAAGGTCTACATTTCTTGGGTTCTTTCTTCACACCACTAATTGCTTATATGATCATGTTTATAGATGCCACTCAAATATTTGGGGGGCGGGCATTGACAGTTACCGGGATGGGTAAACTGGTAGAAAACGTGAGCCTCGTTAAGCCTTCTATCTATGTTGGAACGTCTCTTAAATTTCGTATAGTACCATCGCACATCCGGTTTCGATGCGATTCTCGCTGGAGCAGAAGATGTACTGGGAGATCTGGGCGTGAGGCAGGCAATGAAGAGAATGCCCAAGGACGCTCTTCTGTAGTTTGTATTCTTCCTGCTCTCGTAAAATACATAAATATGCTGCAATCGATGGTCCGTAAATTTATTTTCTGGGTCTAGGGGTGGGTAGGCAAAACTGACTCGGGGTGATGCACAATTTGGAAACTTTGCTTTCAATTGACCAATATCTGACTATCAGGTATGTACTCTACAGCAAATGGGGACATAGGAGGACATAGGTTGGTAACTTACAACATACGTACAAAATGACTTTCGACGACAAGCACTAGGGCATGGTTCCCTTTCCTGGCTGCATTTTATTTGGCCCAATCCAGGATTGCTTTTCGGTGAATATGAGCAAGGCTAGAGGAAGTATAGGTTGCGCTTGAGGAGTCAGTACTAGTCAATGCTTGGCAGATTGTCTCAAGGACATATGCAATGCTATGGTTCTTCGAATATAGACCGAATCTACATAGGGAATGACCGGGAAAATTCAACATGATTTGTACCAATGTGGGGTTTCCTGCAGTATCAGTTGAATATAATCAATCATGTTGAAAGTCTGAATCCTTCCATCAGAGTGACGGTGCGTGGTGGTGAGTTGAAATATCATCAAAACCCAGACAGAGCCATCGGAAAAAAGATAAGGGCAACCGGCAGTTCATTGTGCACAGAATCACACATCACTATCATTGAACATGGAGAGAAGGATAGAAAGAACGAATAAAGTAAGGAGTAACTATAGAGTAAAGGAAGAAGGAATGATATGAAAAATAGACTCTCACGATCCAAACGACAAGCGGCAGAAATAAATGCTGTGACCCAATCCTCCCTGATTCCACGAAAGACATCGAAACTCAACTCGAATTAGAAATTTATACATGGTCCGGTTTGATGCGCCAAATTACTGCTGCTGCTGCCACGCTCAGTACCAACACTCCAACAGCAGTTTGCATATTGACTCGATTCTAATTAGAGAGCTGATCAGTAATCTTGATAGCCAAAATGCAATGTGCGATGCTTACATTATGATCGTTGATAGAAGGGGCTTTCGTGGTTCGAGCTGGCACCAATGAATCTTCGGCATGATCGCTGTGCGCGAACGGGTTTGCAGAGGGTTCAGAAACCGCCAGAGGACTCCCACTCGTCAATTCTGAATGTTGATTGGTTTGAGTAGATGCTATGAGTTTCGACGCCGCTTTCTCGAAGACATGAGGTTCCTCGTTTGCCAGGGTGGCCTCTGTGTCATCCGTCTCTGCACCCCGAGACAGACTACGCTTTTTGGAACCTGTTCTCCCTCTACCGGACCCCGAGCGTTTTCGCCGTGGACGATTAGAATCGGAAGAGAGACTGCGTGGGCTGGGCGGGGTAACTAAACCATGTTTGATATCACCGTTTCCATGGAAAAGGGGTGTATCTTTGGAAAGAGCAACATTTCGCATGCGCTCCATACGCTCAAGACCATCATCCACAAGCCGTACTTTGCTCTCCCATTCTTCACGAGCGCGGTTGAGTCGCTCGCGTTCTTGATTCCATTCCTCTTGGACATTGCTCCATTGACCTTCAACAGACTTTTTCCATTCCACGACCATACTTATCAAGGATTCACGTTCTGCGCGTTGTGGAGCTGTCTGCTCTTCGGTAGTCACGGCCGGTTGACGCTGTTGAGCGCTAAGAGTGGCTGTGACCAAACTCTCGAGTGCTTCTACTTTGCTTTCCAAAGCGGAGATCGTTGATTGGGCAGTGCTATGTTGTGCTTGGAGTGTGCTCGATAAGGCTAATGCGGATTCAAGTTGAGCGGAGAGGGTGGTGAGCCGGGTGGTCAGCTCATCGACCACAGTACTCGAAAGACCTTGAGAGTGTTTTGGAGGAGAATTCAAAGCTTTTGATCTCGAGGTACCCATACCTAGGTGACTAGGTTCAGGCGTTCGGGGTCGACCAAGTTCCTGAGGCTGTTCCTCCTCCTCCACTTCGTTGTCTTCAAATTCGCCGTCAAAAGCTCCATCAGGAGCGGAAGGTTGAAGGCGCGCCTCTTCTCGTACAGCCATCTCCAAATCGAGCTCATCCACCTGACTGGGAAGAGACTCGTCGTCTGCTGTGGAAGCAGATTCTTCATCCTCTTCATCAACTCGTTCAAGCTCGTGTGGAACAGCTGTGCCCACGCTGCGGGAGTCATCTTCGAACTCGTCGTCGAAGTTATCGGTCTCTTCTTCTTCGTCTACGTCAAAGCCTCCTTGAGGTTCTACGTTTGACTGTCGACGAGTTTTGTGCGACGTGGTATTCTGGGAAGGTTCATCGTGCCTCTGAACAGCGTCCATCATGTCCCGGAGTAAACGCACTTCACGACGAATGGCTTCCTGTTCCTTTAAAGCATCTTCTAGTACACGTATTTTGTCAATGTGCTGCGAAAGGGAAGTCTGTGTGTCTTTCAGTTGCGTCTGAAGCTCAACTAAGAGTGCAGAGGAGGAAGCTGAAGACATCTGGAAGTGAGTTGTGGTCGTAGAAGTCGTTAGTGGCTCGTTCGACATCAATTCCTGTTGGTCTTGTGTGGAAGGGGCGGATGGGACATCAGGTTGACTAGGAGGTGGGGCAGCCGATTGAGGAGGTCGGACTGGAGGTAACGCGTGAGGAAACGGAGGAGCAGTGGTGGGCTAAAAGGGAGTAAGCATGACAACCGCGAGACATGACACCAGCATACCAAATTGCCACCACCGAGGGTATCGTGAATGTCACTCATTGCGCCAGTAAGTGTATGCAACTCTGCGCCGGTTTCACGACTCTTTTGGAGTTCGCCTTGAAGACGATTCAAGATATGATCAAATGTGAGTCCGCTCTTACCCGGAGGTCTCATACTTCCTCCCATACCACCCATACCAGATATTCCCTGTTGCGACATTTGAGGTCGGCGAGGGGGTTGTTGCCCGGAGAAATTGAACGATGCAGAGTTGGAGGATCCTGGACCCGAGCTTGGGCCCGTCTGATTAATCATAGATCCGTTAGAAGCAGGGGATAACGACGACGAGGGACCAGCGAACTGTTGCATTTGCTGCATCTGGTACTGCTCCGCCCTCGCTGCTATTTGAGCATCTTGCTCTGACAAGATGCACATGACGCGAGCGGCAACTTTATGGTGAACAATGGTTTTGTTGTCTTCTCCGATGATATCAATACCGAATTCCTGAGCAAGTTGAATTAGTATTGAGTAGAGGATTTGTAGTCAAGTGCTTCTGCAAACATACAACATTATCATCGCTCTTAAGTTCATATGGGTCAGACTCGAGACCTTCTAGGCTGAGCCGCTCCCCGTTAATGAAGGTCCCGTTAGAGCTTTTAACGTCTTTAATAAATATCTAACAGCATAGGGTGAGACCACCATAACACTGAGATAGGTTGTCCACGTACTTTGTTTCCTTCCTCCCAAACTTCGGCATGTTGTCTACTGAGCACCTTGGAGTCAAAGTAACCGTTTCGTTCGCCCGGAGTGGTTTTGGCGTTTGTTTGTCGTCCAATTTTAACATGTGTGTTGTGTAAGAGAGAAATATGCTTTGGAATAAATGAGTCGTTGATTGGATAGAGATAGAGAGCGGGAAACGGAGACGGAAATGGCGCTGGAGCAGGCATTTCGTTGAATGTAAGAGAAGGAAGGACGCGGGAGTAACGGGCTGTAACAGTTTGTGACGGTACGTGACCAAGGTGGCGTGGGAAACACAAGCGCTTAAATCTTCGACGACCATGACCGATGATTCTAATACTGCGGGGCTATACTCACCATCGGACGATAGTGAAGGGCAAGTATCGTTTCCTTCCCGCATGTAGTGATACAATAATTGCTCTATAGTCCCGTTCTACGTGACTTTGTCAATGAAACTCTTGCTCATGAACGTGACCATCCTGAGGACTCACCGCGTTCAGAGTTGCTTTCACCCATTCATGGAGCAGCTACTTCTCATGACAGCCCGGCAGCTGTTGACCACCATCAAGACTCTCGCTCCAGACGCGGACCAAGTCAGCGTTATCGCCGTGAACGCGAATCAGCGTACAGAGGCTTGGATCAGCGCGAAGTCCTCCGTCTGCTAATTGAACATGAATATGAAGCTTCGAAGATGCGCAAAACTTTATACATGGTCTTCTCAAAACTGGAAGCGGAAATTCAGCGTTCCGCAGAAGCTGAATCCCAGGCCCAGGCGTACATCAAACGATTCAAAGAGCTCAACGCGGAGAAACTCAATGTTGAACGAGAATCACATACTCTAGAAGCAGAACTTACATTGTATAAGATACAATATGACTTGGCGCAAAAGGAGATCGTAAAGACTAGAGACACGGTGCTTGCATTGCAAACACAGTTGGACGCCGCTGAAAATGACGCAAGGAGGGCGAGAGGAGATGCACGAAAGGTAAAAGAAGCATTGGAAATCTGGAAAGCACGAGAGGAAGGTAGGAGACAGGGCTTTGAGGCAGGCTGGAATAGGGCTAGAGAAGAGTTCGGTGCTTTGAACGCTCAAACTGTGCTTGAGTATGGGAATGAGTATTCAGACAACCTTCCACCACCAGAACTGTCCTCTTTTCAACGCACAGATGCTCAGGGATCCGGGGATGGCGGGGATTCAATTTCTTACCGTACCTATCCTCCCCCGGACCAGAGAGGCTTGCTGCAATTTCCTGAGGTGCCAATGGTACCAGCTTCGATTTTCAATGATCCTCCCCCACAATCTCTGCCCATAGCCGAGTCCATATCGCGGCATTCGTCGGTCTCTGAGCGTCCCCAGCAGGCCATTCCCACCCACGTATCTTCCCGGCCATCTTCTACAAGGCCTGACATGGCTACACCTGCGGTCCAGATGTACTCTCTTCCAATACCTCCTGCTAATGAAGTTGAATTCCACAACCGACCTCAATCCTCAATTCGACGGACCAATTCTAAGCAGCCCCAACCACAACTTCAACCGTGGTTAGCTGAAACCCCAATCACGCGAGCATCTTCTCCCCGTCCCCCTGATAATTTCATACCAGCTGCCTCTGAGGATGGTCACATTGCGTTGCCTCCACCTCATGAATTGGCAGAGTATCCCCCGTCTCCGCAACCCACTGTCAATACATTGCCGGGCAATACTGCTTACTCCAGTCATGGCGGCGCAAGTATGGAAGAGGGCCCTCGGCGAGAATATACCTCGTCAAAGGGAAAGGCCCGAGCCACTGACTCGTGGTACAATCATCGTGGTGAGGTGGACTCTCGTGCGCATACCCCTGATATAGCAGTTGCAAAAGGAGTATTGCGACCAGAAGCGTCTACTTCCTGGTATCAAGATCGACCTCGGCGCGCCTCCATGAGTTCGAGATATTCTGCGAACTCCAGCGGTGGCTTGCTCGATGCATGGGGTTATCCAATACAAACAGAAACTAAGCGCTCGGGCGGGCTGGGAAATACATTGAAGAACATCTTCAAAGGAAAGGGCAAGGATGCTAGAATGCTCAGTATGATCAAGGAGAACCCACTCAGTAGGCAAGGTAGTCTGAATGTCGGCCCTGTGTTACCACCGTCTGTTGAGCCCTCGGGGTCGTTCAGGGGGCACACTTATCAAGGAACTTCTCCAACTGGTTCCAACCAAAGGTTCACGGAAGATATCAGATATGATAATCCTGATCCAACGAAGAGGGAGCGTCCTCGACCACTTGAGGTAAGGTTTGAAATTTCTATGCATTGTATCCTTTTGCCAATCCAAGGTTAGGATACATCGTCCTCTCAAGATCGCCCACCGCGTAATGTTCGAATACCAGCACATCTTACTGTTCCACCTTTGCTTGCAACCCAGCAACGAGGAGGGCATGGGCGGGCAATCTCCCTCGGATCTGCTGATCCAAGGTTCCACGAAAGTCCATACCCTCCACAGACAGACACGAGCCGATCTCGCATTGATGGACCGAGTTCACAGCAAGCAGCTCGTGGTGGTCCAAATCGCTCTTCCAAAAGGGCCTCAATGTCTGGCCATTATATTGATTCTACTAGTCCACCCGTTTCGATATCTGTTCAGCCTCCAGTAAGTTGACTTCGATGTATGATAATTGTCCGGGTGCTGACTTTCATATTAGTCGCAATCCCCTTCAGATGCACCCAATGGTTTGCATAGCGCGGCTCGGAGTGGATCTGGTACCCCAGAGCTATCATATCTCAGCTCAAACGAATATCCTGCGTCATGGCCTGATCGTGTTCGTCCCCGTTCTGCGTCATTGAGTCAAGCAAACTATTCCTCTTCGGCTTCTCCTAAACGACAAAATTCCAATAATCCATTATCCCCACCTGATCGGACTGGCTCTCCAGGCTTTTCAGATCGTTACGGTCAGAACAATCAAGCATTGCGTCGGGCAAGGTCTCCCTCGAACGTAAATTCCATTCATTCTCGTGCGCCTTCGAGGTCGAATCCACATCAACATTATGCAAGTACGGCTTCGTTTCAACATACGCAGCCATTATCTTCTCTAGGCGGCGATAATCAGTCTGAAACCGTCTACGTATCGGGGACGCCTGTTTCGTTCAAAAACAGGCCTCTTCTCGGATCAAATACAGCTCATAAACAATCCGGGTCTACAGAGGGAGGAGCGGGCTTGAAGCGAGTTATGTCAAACCTGTCTGCGAAATCAGCAGGTTCGCAGTACTCCCATTTTGATCCAGAGACGTATAGAGATCCTGCATACTTCCCACTGGATACAACATAACACTTAGCTACACATGGGGAAACGGGATATACTGTATTTCAGAATTCGTGAAGGCTTAGAGAGTACCAATATTTGGAATCCATCGAAAAGAAAGAGTAAGGTACTTAACAGCAAACTTGTAAAGCATACAAAGAAACTTCCAAATAAAATTTTCAATGGCGAAGTGCCAGCCACTCAGACTACCATCCTGCATACCCCTATACCAATTGCAGGAAGAAGAGTCCTAACTAGCTGAATGACCTGAACCATGAGATAATTAGAAGCACTCTGTTGTAAAGAGAAAGTGAGACTTCTTATGTAGGTATAGACAATTGAAAATGACGCACTGCGGTGAACAATACCGGGACCAGACTCATCGTACTCTTGCTTTGAGCACCATAGGTTCTGGAAAGTACTGAGGGAAGCAAGAATAGAACCACCAATCCAAACAGAGTATTTCCGCTCTGGAGGAGCAACAATCTTGACCTGCCGGAGATATAGGTGAGACACATGTATTTGAGGAAACTATATCATTACCTTCATAGAGGCAGGAGACAACGACGTAAGCTCCTTCTGCATCCGGTCGGCAATACCCGGGAACATAGTGGTACCACCAGAGAGAACGACGTTGCCGTATAAATCACGACGAATGTCGAGATCACACTTGAAGATAGAGTTGTAGGTTGTTTCATGGATTCCGGCAGCTTCTAAACCAAGGAAGGCAGGCTGGAAGAGGGCCTCAGGAGCACGGAATCTACAAAGATTTCATTCATGAGTACATCGATTTCATCAGGAACGGCTACCGACCGTTCGTTGCCTATGGTGATGACCTGACCATCAGGAAGCTCGTAGCTCTTTTCGAGGGCAGAGGACTGAGCAGCAGTTTGAAGTTCCTGTTCAAAATCGAGGGCTACATAGCACAGTTTCTCCTTGATGTCACGAACAATTTCACGCTCAGCGGTGGTGGTAAAAGGGTACCCACGCTCCATGAGGTTTTTGATCAAGAAATCGGTCAAATCACGACCAGCGAGATCAAGACGAAGGATAGCATGAGGAAGAGCGAAACCCTCGTAGATGGGAACGGTATGGGTAACACCATCACCCGAGTCGAGTACGATACCGGTGGTACGACCAGAAGCATAGAGAGATAGAACAGCTTGGATAGCGACATAGAAAGCCGGGGCATTGAAAGTCTCAAACATGATCTGGGTCATTTTTTCACGATTGGCTTTCGGATTCAGAGGCGCCTCGGTAAGAAGGACAGGATGCTCCTCAGGGGCGACACGAAGTTCGTTGTAGAATGTGTGATGCCAAATCTTCTCCATGTCGTCCCAGTTGGTGACAATACCATGCTCAATAGGATACTTGAGAGTCAAGATACCGCGCTTAGACTGCGCCTCGTCACTATGGTGTCACAAGTAAGACAACAGCTTCGGAAGAACGATCCTAACGTACCCAACATATGAATCCTTCTGACCCATCCCAACCATGACACCCTGATGACGAGGACGGCCGACAATAGAGCTACAACCAAGTCAGTAAAAAATCACGGCGGAAGAATTCAACGTACGGGAAAACGGCTCGAGGAGCATCATCACCTGGAAGTTCGCGTTTATTAGCTCGATGCACGCGAGTAGCTATTGATATTCCAATTACCAGCAACTGCGGATCGGTAAAATCAGCGGATTCTATGGGTCAAGAAGAGGAAAACCTTACACCCAGCCTTGCACATGCCGGAACCATTGTCGATGACCTACAGCAGTCTTAGCATCGAGTATATAAGCCAAACAGTAAGAACTCACTAGAGCGGCAACTTCGTCCTCCATTGTTAAGTATTAGTCGTGAAGATAAAAAGGATTTCAGATAGTCGTGAAGAGCTGCGAGTGTTGGAAAACACCGAGTTCGTATGAAATCAGAGTCAGAAGATAAGAAGATAAGACGTAGTCCGTAGAAATAAAGTGAGCAACAGCGAACGTCAAAGAGAAGGCGAACGTCACCTAGTTCGAATAGCTCCTTGTTGAAGTGGACGGAAAGATGGGCAAAGGGGAAGGTTCAGTTGTGTGTTATCCGATTTATTTGGCATGGTTTGGATTGGAGAGCGCATCGCCACCGAAGCTTTAGATAAGCATTACTTGTCACATCGATGGAAATCAGTTACCCCTCCGGAAGATCTTCAAATGAGTGGTGGATATTGAAGAAGGAAAACTACATCACACCAAGCCCCACTGTTGTGGACTGCACCTTGCTTGAGACAGAATCAATTTCACTTAAGCTGATAACAAAGACTTCAATGTACCATGCTGTAATATAGTACTGGGGTGAGTGAATGTCTCTGTCAACATTTGTAAGGTAGAGCTCAAGCAAGTTCCGCACATATCACATGACCGGCGTGACATGACCTTCAAAAATTAATAGCAGCCGTTTATCGACATATATAGAAAATTGGTTTGCAAGGAAAGTTTTGCTAGAGGGATGCAAAACTTTCTGCGCGAACCGATTTCGAGAAGGCAGATTCATGAGACCGCTATTAATTTTTTCGTGGATCAAAATAGCAGTGGGTCACAGTCACCTGATGTGTGCAGGTCTTGCTTGAGCTCTACCTTAAAACCTGTATTTTTGGCTAAGAGCTTGAAAGCAGCTGACAGCACTGTCCAGCTGGGAGTGTTTTTGTTGGGGAATACTCCATATGTACTGACATAGCTGTTAGCTTGGGGATGCAGATAACTGGAGACAGCATTATTACTAGATACTATACATTTCCACCCTAGATCACACCACTACAGTGTACTCAAATCACTATCAACTGAGGTGAGCTTGAGTATGTTTTACAGATAACCAGAGACTAAATGACATTGTAGTTTAACTAGACTTAACAGATTATGAGACTGGCAATCTGATTGAAAACAAGAAAAAGTCTAATTGAAAAGGTATTTAATTTGGAGGTATTCAAATACAAAAATCTCATTTAGAAATAGCCCAAACATACCAAGACTCTGTGTTACAATGTCAAGAACATGCCTTGGTGCATTGCTCTGGTGCTCAGTACTCTGAGATCTACTGTTTATTGTAATCTCTTCTTTATTGTTCTTTCTTGCTATTGTCATAAAGTACGCAGCTCCTATTATGTTCCTTTCTCACTGTCTCAATGCCTTTACTTGTACAATACATCATCCCATTGCTGTCAATCCCCCTGTCAAGTCCATGCCTCGGGGCCCCATTCCGCCGCTCGGTATTCCGAAGATCCACCGTTTATTGTAATCTCACTCTTATTGTTCTTTCTCGCTACATATACCCTTTCGTTCTAGTCCCTCCTTATTGTCTTTTACTTTACCCTGCAGGTACTACTTGTATAGCTCCTAGTAGTTAGTCTGGCGTTCCGCACCGCTGCGCCGCTCTGTAGGTATGAATACTGCCTGTACGCTACTGTAGTTCCTCAGTTTAATTATCGACTTAGATTCCCTCCTTAACTCTGTGCTCCTCTAAGTCTTCAGGCTCATCGCCTCGAAGTACTCTCTACTATAACCTTAGGACTTATAAGTTCTTTGGTTTGCTCCTCACGTTCTTTGGTTCGCTCCTTGTCACCGGCGATACCGCCGCTCGAACCTGGCTGCTACTTAGCTCCTCCCTTCTATACTCTTGATCTCCGGGGACTAATGGTGTAATGGTGGTGTTATTAATAACTTCACTACTGTCCCACTCGACCTCCCGCACTTAGACACCTTGTGGCCTCTGGCACGGTTACATGGTGTACATGATCTTAACAGTATAATTAAACTCAATCTGTTAACGTCGTACTGACATATCATTTTTTATGCCTCCGAAAACTCGAGCTCAATCTAGAGCTAACTCCGAAGAAAATACTTTCTTCACCACAGCCCAATCATTTGCCCCATTCTCCGACTCTATTTCTGCCATCGGTCAACCACGTTGCCGTAATCGCAGGTTCGGTCCAGCCACAGTTCCTACTACGTCAACTCTTCCTGAGGCCATGGAAGAAGAACAACAATTTGAGTACAGTACTCTGTATACCGGTGATGGACAACCTGTCCAAGTCCTGACCCCTCGCCGTGGACAACCCCCCGTGGTCGCTCTGGCTTGGGGCCGGTCTACCACTCGAATTGATTCTCCCATCCTCCAAGCCATAGCCCGTCGTACTGGAAAACAACCTCAATGTTGTGCTGCCTCAGAATCTCCTCATGACCCGCCTCCTCACTTTGATCTGGACGCTGGTGATCACGATGATCAAGAACCTCCTGTTGACCCCGATGATCCGGGTGCCAACAACGACAACAACAATCTGGATGACGACTCCGGCGGTTTACCGCATTAACGAGCTTGCCTCGTTTTTGTGTGAAAGAGAAAGGAAGGAATCTAATGGGCACTCCAACCAACCAATTTAATACACAATATGCGAGTTCACTGCTATCAAATTTATTTAATAGCAAGGGGTAGCGTTGGCAAAGGTTCCGCAAAGCTTTGAGAGCTAAGTAAGAAGCTTTGATCAATCAATTTGAATCGTTCTAAGGATTCGATATATTCCTTTGATCAAGGTAGATTCAGCACGATTTGTGCTTTGGTTTGTATTGATTTGGGTATATCAAGAATTGGGGGTTTGAATCAAAGTAAATTAAAACCGAAACACACAGACCCCTACGGAGGGCTAGAACTATGTGCTGGCACAACCACACAGCGTGATTTGCCCTTAAGACCAACGACTGATCTTAAGTTCGAAGAATACCCAACAACTGGATAGACTTCTCGCAGTCACAAGGAGCAGAACACAACGTTCCTATACTCACAAGTGCCGGGCCCGAATGGCTGCTAGCGAAGAGGTTTCAGTCTGGCGGGAGTGTGTCTTTCCTTTTTACGGATTAGCACTGCAACGTTGTCCCAAAATCACTTGTATTCCAGATACATCGGATCGCTATTTATATATACAGAATATAGAGTCGCACAGTACAATTAATTTAATACAATAAACGTTTGGAACTACAAGGAAACTTCTACAATCGGTCAGATACCATTTAATTTGAATCTGCATGTCCTTATTTGGTTCATAATGGTTCCAAGATTCAAGTATACCTCCAAACATAGGTAGGTACTTCGTTATTCATTTAATTTAATTGTTTTTGGAGAATGACTTGAATGGTGTTCAACTGTCATTGCTGTTCAACACTTACTTCAATCGTTTGTCACCTCATCTGGAGGCAAATCAGCTCTCCTCGATTCTAATCCTATTAATCTGATTCATCTGGATTAAACTAATTGCTTCTCTCTTTCAATAGACACCCATTGTGGAGTTACGCATAGTATTCATTTAATTGCATTCTTCAATATTTTCTACATCAGGACTCTTTTGATATTCATTTGATATGTCTTTGGAGCCTCGCAGTACTTCGATCATTCTTCTAGTCATTTTCCTCAACCATGCAACCTGATTGGTCTATTAGACTAAATCGCAGTTTTTTAGATTAATGCATGATCTTGTTCTAGAAGAAGTATTTGATAATTCCTGAGTTCTAGAAAGTCATTTCGAGTCAATCCTCAGCTCATGGTCACTTGAGTAAGTTCTTCCAAACTCCTGCCAGTGTAAGGTCCAATAAGAATACCCTTGGTATGTCATATATGAATGGTCATCCTTCAGATGTAGTCCGAGTCTGTCAAGTCCATGCCTCGGGCCTCCATTCCGCCGCTCGGTACTCCGAAGATCCACTCTTATTGTAATCTTACTCTTATTGTTCTTTCTTGCTACACATACCCTTTCGTTCTAGTCCCTCCTTATTGTCTTTTACTCTACCCTGCAGGTACTACTCGTATAGCTCCTAGTAGTTAGTCTGGCGCTCCGCACCGATGCGCCGATCCGTAGATATAAATACTGCCTGTACGCTACTGTAGTCCCTCAGTTTAATTATTGACTTAGATCAACTTAGATCTCCCTTCCAACTTAGCTCTTCTCTAAGTCTTCAGGCTCAACGCCTTGGAGTACTCTCTACTATAACCTTAGGACTTAGACGTTCTCTGGTTCGCTCCTCGTCACCGGCGATACCGCCGCTCCGACTTGGCTGCTCCTCAGTTCATCCCTTCTCTACTCTCGATCTCCGGGGACTAACGGCGTAACGGCAGTGTTGTTAATAGCTTCACTACTGTCCCACTCGTCTTCCGCACTTAGACACCTTGTGGCTTTGGCACGGTTACACGGTGTACATGATCTTAACAGAGTCTGGTATAATCCTGCTTGACAAACAGGTAGACTGCTATCCAAAGGTAGTATCGGGGATGGGTAAACTAACCAACTTGTGGTAGTATGGGTATATGGTCCCTTCAACTTATTAGACTGATTCAGTATTGACTTTGACTGTTAATCTGGGTCTCAATTACAGTCCTCTCAATACAAATCTATGCGTGCAAATGTCACAATTCACAGCATAGACATCTAGCCAAAATTTAGGCGTGTCACCGAGTTCTGCAGAAATCCTTCCTTCTGCTTCTTCTGCTTCCTCTGCTACCCCTGCTACATCGCCCTCCACAGGCTCTAATCTCTCCTCTCAGTTTTCATACTCTCCGGCTTCGCATAACCATCTACAATCTTGCCAGGGCCAACGGTTAGCCTACCAGACTTTCCTTCAGCAGAATACTATGAATTATTCTTTGGACCATGGCACAGACATGAGCTCGTCGAATTCAATCCATCCCACCACTGATGGTAATTTCGCCTTTATCTATAACTCGGAAAATGCATACATAATGATATTCTCCAGATTCTGACACAAACATGAATTCCTCATCCCAGCTCACTTTTACCCCCCCATATAGTTCCAACTACAGA